GAATGATAATTATATAATCCTACTTGTGTAGACTATCCTTTTCCTTAACCCAGTGATATACTGAGGCCATATTTGTTGTAAATATTTTTCCATCGAGCCTCCTTATGGAGATAACAGAGGTAAAGGAAGATAATAGGAGATAATTCTTCCCCTATCCTTTCCAGTAGTCAGCAGTTTGGTAGCATCTACTCAGATAGATTCTGGATTGAAAGTTAAGTAATTATTTTATATTCTCTAAGGGGTCAAGATAACACACCAGGTTGGCTATCATACTTTGGGGTTCACTTGGTAGAATAGAGCTGTATCTACTTTCATTTAAAAGAGGATGCATTCTTTTCTCAGCCATACTTTACCCTAAACTTTAATATCCTAGAGTTCTATTCCTAGAGACTTGTATGTTCCTAAGATTCTCCAATCCACTCAGGGTCAGTTATGCCAGGCCAAGTTTAGGGTTTAGGGGCCTCCAGGTGTGCTTCAGAAGATCCAGAGAAATAGGCTTGATTTAGGTCTATTCAGTTCCAGTCTGGGTAGAACTGAACCGTGAACCTGGTTGGAACTACACTGTGAATCGGTCTTGAATGTCAGAACCAGGGACAGCTCCTTCTGTCCCTCCCCCTGTTGCCCCTCCCCTGGCTTGGACTGGGGAGAGAGTGGGAGATTTGGGCACGGTGTGCTTCTCTAGCCTCTTCTCCCTGTTTCTTGCTTCCCTCTTCATACGAGAATACAACCACAGATAGTTCCTGGCGTATGTACTCTTTCTCACCTTCATGCTCTCTGCTAATGCTGTTTAGTATGCCTTCCTCCCATCCTTCCACTGCCTGGCTAATTTCTGTTCATCCTCTCAAGCCCGTTTAAGTAGGTATCTTTCCGAGGAAGCCTACCCTGATTTCTTACATGGCTTAAACATATCTCCTCTTAGCTCAGTGGCATCCATGCTTGCCTCTGTCATTATACTAAAAACTGCACTGAAATGATCATCTGTGCTGTTCAGTACGTAGTCACTAACCACATGTATTAAGCACTTGAAGTGTGGCTAATGTGAATTGAGATGTGCCAGATTTCAAAGACATAAAAAAGAACATAAAATATTAATAATTTTTTATATTGATGTCATGTTGAAATTGTATTTAGGGTTAAATAAAATATGCTAAAATTAATTTTACCTGTTTCCTTTTTACTTTTTATAATGTGGTTACAGAAAATCTAAAATTACGTATGTGTCTCACGTGATCTTTCTATTGGATAGCACTGATCTGCATTCTTCTCTCTTCTTAGAAGTAGGGACTGGCTCAAATCTATCTTTATCTCTTTGTATTCCTGGAGTACAATACATAGGGATGGGCGGGAATACCTGATGCTAGTCCTCAGAACATGGGGCTGGAGTAGCAAGGGTCCAACAGGCATTATTTTATTATTTGGCTTTTCCATTTAGGAACTTGGCCTCTCTCCCTAACTCAGGCATTTTTATATGTCTTCTTATTGGTCTTTGTAGATTTTCTCATAGATCACAAAAATCTATCAGTAAGTTTATTTCTAAGTATTTTTAATGGATTTTTTATCAGTTTAGTTTCTAATTAGTTGCTATTTAACAGTAGTGAACGGTATAGATTTTTGCTGATTTTCTTGAGTCTTTCCACTTATTTAGTCTTATTAATTTTACTAAGACTATATATTTTCTTATACAATTATATCAACTATAATAAAGACATTTTCTTTTTTTAATTAAGGTATCATTGATATACAATCTTACGTTGGTTTCAAATATACAACTCAATGGTTCAACAGTTACCGATATTATTAAATCCTCATTCCCTCTAGTGTGGTCACTATCTGTCAACGTAGTAAGATGTTACAGAACCATTATCTGTATTCTCCGTGCTTTACTACTGTCCCCATGACCAACCTATATTGTGATTGCAAATTATTGTGCCCCTTAACCCCCTTTCCCCTACCCTTGGTAACCCCTCCCCCTTGGTAACCACTAAGATATTTTCTTATATACATAAGTTTATTTCTCTCTTTCTCTTCTCTTTTAGAATATTCAAACCAGTATTAAAATAATATTAGTGGTGAAGAGTGACCTTGCTTATTCCTGTTTTGAAAGGGAAAGTATCTTTTAAAAGAATAGGTATTGAAATTTGTCCAACATTCTTATTTATTACAATTGTCATGTTTATTTTTTATTAATCTACATATATTGCCTATTGTTTTTATTTTTTAACCATCCCTGAATTACCCTTGTGTTTGTGGTATGCTATTCTTTTAATAATAATGTCATATAGTGGTGTGTGTGTTAAGAGTGTTGACCTTGCAACCATCCAGCTTGTGTTCAAGTTCTGCCTCTACTAGTTGCAAGCTGTGTGGTCTTGGGCAAGTTACTTATCCTCTGTGTCTCCATTTTTAATAATAGTACCTGCCTGTGCTGGTTATTTACCTAGTGCTTCTCAGCCCAAGCCCACTTACCTGTCCTGTAATGCACCAGGATTTGGTGAGGATTATGTGAGCTGGCCAATGTAAAGTGTTGGAGCAATGCCTGGCACTTAATATTAAGTAAAAAATAATGCTAGCTATTATCATCATAATTTAAACTAATCTCTTGGAGAATTGAGAATTCTATATACTAGTATTTGAGTGGTATCCATATTCCTTAGATCTCTTTTTATAATATCATCTGAGAATATATGAGGCTCTTTATCTGCTACTATGAACAAATTAGGAAAATTCCCCTTTCTCCCATGTTCTAGAACCATTCATACAGCATGGAACAGAATTGTTTCTTTCAGGAATGGCTAGAAGTACCAAACAGTGATCCCTCTAGGCCAAATAGTCTTTCTTAGTGTCTTCCTTAATTGTGGTTCAACTGTTGCTTGTGAATCCTTGTTTTGCATTTTTTAAAGAAAAAAATATAACTTAAAATTTTACTCAGGGTTTCAAATCAATTAGTCTGTAGCCATGTAAAAAATTATCATATTTATTAAATCTCTGTGATGAGCTTTAAAATGTGGGAGTGAAAGATGTATTCACTGTCTTGATTGTGGTGATGGTTTCATAGGCTGATACATATGTTAAAATTTATTAAATTGTACACTTTATATATGTACAGCTTACTGTGAGTCAATTATATCTCAATGTTAAAAAGCCTAATTTCATAACTATTTTCAAGTACCAGCTGACATGTATTAATTCCATTGTTCATGACTTCTAATTTTTAAAATAATTTCCTGAAATACATCTTATTATAGATAAAAAGAGATGGTGCATGCAAGAGCCTGGTGACTCATTATCTGATAGTAGTGTATATGATTTATGTCTACTATATTACCTTGATTTCATTGTTCCCAGGACATTTCTTAAATATTGAAAAAAGAAAATATAGATGGGGATGCAAATATTTTTTCAAGCCATCCTTGTTGTTTTGGGGCCAGGAAACTCTGGGTGTAGAGAAGGTGTGCAAGTGGGCTCTGGCCCACACAGTAGAAGCCCTTGGTGTGCATTAGCTAGGGACTCAAATGCAAGGATTGAACTGGAAAAAGGAGCCAATAGCGTCAAAAAATACATGTGGATGAATACATATGAATGAATATATGGGAAAGGGAGGTTTGGTTTGAGCTGGGTGTCTTACCATTTATCAGCGGCAGCAAACCAGTAACAGTAATGTTCCCAGAAACTGTGAGACTAGCTAGCAAGTGGTTGTGATACTCTTGGCAAGATATGCTAAGGGTCTGCACCAGTGCAAGCAGTCATCAGAATTGCAGTGAGAACCATGTGAGAATAGTTCAAGAGGTAAAACTGTCAAGACTCCGTGTGAACAACTTAATGGAAGCGTGGGGGGAAGCAAGGGAGAGAGAGAAACTGCATTTCTAGGATTAAGGTGCCATTCACAGAGACCAGAGGCAAAGGAAAAGCACGTTTGTGAGGGAAAGACAGAGTTTGGTTTTGGACTCTGAATTTGAAGTGCTGGTAGGAGATCCAGGTGGAGCTGTCCAGCAGACACTTGGAAACATGAGTCCCCGATGAGGCTGGAAATAGAGATTTGAAAGAATATTGGAGCCATAATAATGGATATGACCTCTAAAGGGAAAGTGAAGAGTGGAATGAGAAGAGAGCTGGTTTTGAAACCATGGTGAACACATGTTATTTACTGGGGCAAAAACAAGAGGGGCGCCTTGAAGGAGACCGAAAAGGACTTAGGCAACAGGAACCATCAGAAAACGTTGAAGCCAAGTAAATGCCTCAAAAAGGAAGGAGAGGCACAAGTGTCAGATGCTGCAGAGAAATAAGAATAGAAAATTATCCTTTGGATTTCGATACAAAAAGCATTTAAATTGACATGGTGAGGGCAAAAGCAGATTGACGGAGTTGACGTGAGCTGCAGGTGACAAAGTGGAGCAGGTACTTTCCAGGTCCCGCAAATAAAGCTCTGCAGCCTCCCTTACGCTGAGACAGTGACATCTTCCAGGGTAGGCAGGGTCTCTTTCTGCTCCGTGGTCTCAGCGCCCAGTACATGGCCTGGAAGAGAGGGTGGCGTCAGTGAGTTCAGTAACTAGGGACGGAGAGAGGCTTCGCGGAGGCAGACGCTTTGCAGCCAAGGCTTGAAGAATGAGGGTGATTGGGAGGAGAGGTGGGAGGCAGGGCCCCAGGGTGATGGGGCGCTCGGAGTGTGTGAGGGGGACCTGGGAACTAGGTGGGGTTCCTGTAATATGCGCGTGGCTTTGTGCGAAGAGGTGGGGGACTGTGTGCAGGCTTGGAGGGATCCGTTTGCGGAAAACACACAGGGCCGGAGCCTGCTGCGGGGGGTGCCCCCCCGCCCTGCCCCATTTACGCCACTGCGCGGTTCCGCGGCGCCTCTACCGGAGCCCTCCTGCCGGGCTGCATGGCGATGGGTGACCGCCAGGGGCCGCTGCCTCGGGTCCCCCGTGCCCCCGCCCCTCTCCATTGGCCTTTGTTGCCGTCGGAGCGCCCCGCTTGACTCGCTCCCGTCCGCCCCCTGGGCCTGGCGGTCGCGCCTGCGCACTAGCAGCTGGCCGGGCGCTCGCTGGGGGAGCTGCTGCAGGCTCCGCGGCGGCGGCGGCAACGGAGGCTGCGGGGGCAGCGGCGCTGGCGGCCGGGCTTGGTGGTGGAGCCGAGCCCGGCCCGGGAGCCCTAGCAGCTAAGGTGCGGGGTACCTAGGCCCCTCACGCTGGACTCCACAGTCTCCGGGCCGCCTGACCTCTGCACGGGTATATGGGATGGAAGCGGGACCCTCGGGAGCAGGTAAGGGCCCCCGGGAGTGGGGACTGTGCGTGCTCCAAGGACCCTGAGAATCCCGCGTGAAGAGTAGGATTTCCGAGTGAGGGAAGGGTTCCTGAGTGAGAGTGGGGTTCTTATGGGATGGGGGGCCCAGTTTGAAGGTAGCTGTAGGCAGTTCCGGGGGAAACCTTGTGAAGGGAGCCCTGAGACGGGGGCCGTTTATCAAAGGAGGCTGTATGCACTCCTGGAGGTGGAAACTAACATGGAAGAAGGGCCTGAATGCACGTAAGGACTCCCGGAGATCCCGGGAGGCCTAGGGAGAGGCCCGGCAGGTGGCAGGGGGCGGGCTCCAGGTGTACTGGAGAGGAGGGGGTCGGCACAGATGGGCCCAGAGCTGCAGCATGCGGGGGGCGCGGGCTCCGCTGGGCTGGGCTGGGCTAGTGTCTCGTGGGAGAAGGCGCCAGAGCTGGGCTGTGAGCTCCGCCCCAGCCGGGCCTGACGCGGGGGCGAGGGTCAGGGGACGGTGGGTGGGGATCCAGCCTGGGATTCCCCCCCTTGAGTCTGGGGAGCTGGAGCGGAGGCGTCCGAGCATGCGCGGAGGTGGCAGCTGGAAGGGGCTGCCCAATGTGGTGGGGGCGTGGCTGCCCCCAATACATCCCCACCCTCCCCTCGCCCCAAACCCTAGCTCGTCGGCTTTGGCTTGAAAAGTGCACCTGATGAGGTGCATTCTGTCTAAGGTTATGCTAGCAGAGCGCAATGGAAGTGGTCCTCTTTCCCATCCTGGGGGCTCTTACTCTCGGCCTTGAAAACCCTCAGTCAGTCACAGTTTGCCAAGAATGGTTTTAGAGAAACTGCCAAAGTGCCTTATTCCGACACTGGGATGGGGAAAGACTGGAACCAAGGCAATGTTCTGGGATGGTTCCTCCCTGAAGGGGGAGGCCCCAGAAAAGGTGTCGGTTATTGAGAGACCAAGGCCAGAACCAGGTTTACCTGGAAGGGATTTTCTGCCTGGTTTACACGTTTCTGGCCCAATACTGAGTATAGATGGGATCTTACAATCCAAGGATAATGATCTTTCCATTGAAATGCCTCTGAAGTGACAGTCTAATTTCTTTCCATGCCTTCATTTTTTTATGGCTTCTTTCCCTCCACTGGGTATCTTCTTTGTCTCTCTACTCCCCAGAAACTGTTAGGGCCATGCCATTAAACCCAAAGTTACCAAGCTAGCCTTTTGTCACAAATAAGTTGTTTGGGGGGGTAGGAAATTTATAGCCTTCACCCTGGTAAGTCCTTAACTTCTCCTTCTTCACAGGTAATCAATCAGGAGGAAAGGAGATAAGAACAGAGGAGAAACTGAGGCAGGGCTGCCAGGAAGACCTGAGTCCCTGCATGGACTGAGAGATGGTGGCATCTCTTGTGTCTTAGGTCTCTTACCCTTTGATGGGAGGAGCAATTTGGACCTGGGAATCCTTTAGGTCTTGTCTCACCACTTTCTTCTGTTTGACCTGGGCATGGGAATAGGATTTCCATGGAGGACATGAATTTCATTTCTGGTGGAAGAACCTTTGTCTTTTATACTGCATCTAACTCCCTCCAGGAAATAGCCCCTACCAGTTTATTCAAGTCATCTATTTGTTGATCCATAAGTACTTAGTGACTACTTTCTGCAAAACAAAAACAACCTTGTAAAGTCTCTCTTAAGGTAGAGTGCAGGGAGCAACTGACTTCAGCAAACTACTTCCTCCTTCACTCAGGCCCCTCTCTCTGTTCCATTTTTAGGCTGGAGATTATTTGCAGTCACCTGTGGACTAGAGGAGGAGTAGGTCACAGAGGTCTGAGAGCTGGCACCCCTACCAGACTACTAAGAATTTTATTCTTATGAATTCCTGATGGGCTTTGAAGTGATGAAAAAACTGACTTTTTGTTTGTTACAAGAAATAAGCTTCTAGGAAAACATGAGAACCTGGTATCTATAGAGTTGCCTGTAGCCTAGTGGGACAGGCTTTGCCTCATCAAAGGATGTAATTGAAATTCATTCTGGAAACAATGCAGGTACCCTATAACACCTCCTTCCTAGGACCTTACCATTCACTTGGAAGTTGGAGGAAAGCAATGCACCAAACTAGGGTATTGTGGTTGGCTTCAGTGGGCTTACATCCAGGTGTGCCTTCTATGTACAAGTGTGTTGCAAGTACTTATATTGGACTGGGAGCACCCCCAACTCTGAGTTACCTGTAGAACCAGCGAGTATTTAGGCCCTGGCATAGAGTACATGTTTTTTCATTGAATTGAATCACATTCCAGTGTGAACATAAATGGTTAATAAATGGTTAAGTACATACGTGGATGTTTAATAATTTGTGTATACTCACGTGTGGACAAATTCTTTTTGGAAAGACTGGTCTCTTAGTCTTTGCTTACAGGACAGCTAACCCAGCCTTGAGTTTGTCTTTTGAATAGGCAGTCTGGCTCCTCGGGAGGTATGTGGGCCTCAGAACTGCGGGTAAGGAATCCCTGAGCCAGGCCTTTCAGCTCTGTTACTTTTCCTTCTCAGGGCTGGTTGGGGATGGGGGAGGGGGAGTGTCCTTCTCTTGGCCCCTCCCTCCTTGCTTTTGTCTGCAGGCAGGGGCCCCGCCCCTTTCCCCCAAGGCCCAAGCTTTGTCCTCTGTGCAGGGGCCCTCATCTGCATCACAAAGTGGCCGTCTGTCCCTGTCTGGGTCTGAAGGGAAGTGTCTCCCTTTCTCAGACTAAAAAGCTGGGGGTAGGGTAGAGTAAGGGGGGCACTTTGTACAGCTGTAAGTCTTGCAGGGGGATGGGATAGGAGAAGGCTCTCCTTTCCTCTTGCCTTCCCTAGTTTGGCTGAAGGGGAGGGTGGGGGTTCTCCAGTTTTCCCAATGCCTCCTTAGAGTGCAGGGTGCCGAAGGCTAAATCTGCTGTGTAGTCCTATGTCTAGGGAAGAGAAGGCTTTGAGGCCAGAGTGTCCCCCATCATTTCTAACCAGCTCCCAAGTCTAAGGTATGTCTTTCTCCCAAGGCTCCAAACAATTATTCAGCCTGGGAGGCTAAAGAGGTGAATGGAATGTAAGAACTTGGGGAGGGGAAGCCCGTTTCTTAACAGCTCCTTCCACCAGGGTGCATGTTTGTCCTGTGCAGGGCTTATAATTTCTGAGCATTTGCAGGTGTTATATTTTTGTTTGCTGTGTAGGCTTGCATGTTCTTTGTGGTGTGTCTGGATCTGTTTGTGCATTCGTTTAATATCTGTACATTGAACACCTGTATGCCAAGCACGGGGGATTCAGCAGTGACCAAGGCAGATAAAGTCCCTGCCTTTGAAGAATTCACTATCTAGGGCAGTAAGGAGTATGTGTATGAAAGCAAACTCTCTAGGTCTTGTTGTGTGTTCTGATTTGTGTGTGTCTGTCTGTCTTGTGTGCAATGTCTGTCCAGCTCTTTCTGGGGTAGGTGACCAGGTGCTGGTAGGTAGGCTCTCACTTCCCCCCATGTAGCTGAGTCCCTAAAGGCCTTTCCCCCAGGCTGGCCTCCGTTTCCCTGTCGGCATTTCCCTATCTGTGGAGTGAGGCTGAGCTTGACAGGTGGTTAGGAGACACGCAGCTCAGCTCTGGGAAGCAAGCACTTCCCTTGAATGGTTCTGACCTCTTGCTGACCCCCCAGCTGAGGATATGCCCCATCCCCCCAGACTGGCAGACTATGAAAGAGGAGCCCTGGTGATGGGAGGTTCTGGGATGGTTTATCCCTCTCTCCTCCCACCTGGGCTGGTCCTTTACTGGCAAGGACAATAGTGGCTGTGGACAAAGGCATCTCTTAGGCAGTTTCCCTTTTTCCTTCCTTTTCCCTCAAGCTAAAAAAATAAAACCAGGGACAGCAATCAGGGCTGTGATGGCAAGAGAGGAGAAAGTAGTGAGAGCTGGCTCTGCCCTACCCCTTTCCCAAGGGTCCCCTTTGTCTTGGAATTAATCCCTTCTGCTACTCTGAGCCCTTGGTGTGTAAGGAGCTGTGGGCGGTGGAGAGCCTTGTATTCCCCCGCCCAGAGCCAGTGCACTCTCTTCCTGCTCTAGCATGCTAATGGATGACTCTCCTCCCCAAGTACTCTGCTACAGCCTCAGTCTCCCATAGTTGGCCTGTCTCCATTCCCTAGTTTTTTCTTCTTTTGAAAACATTTTTTTCCCATTGTCTCCCTAGTTGCAGCCTTGCATCTTGCCCAAGCTCCCAATTCTAACCGATCTTGACTGAGCCCCTAACTCCAGCCTGCCTTCCTTCCCAATTCAAGCCTTTCCTACCAGAACCTCCAGTACTAGTCTTTCCTCCAGTTTGAACCTCTCTCTTTTCCTTAGTCTCCAAACTCTATCCCTGTAGCCTTTTCTCCATGTGTTGTCTCTCCAACCACAGCCATCCAGTTACCTTAATCCTTGCTCAGACACTGCTTCCTCACCTTTTCCCCAGCCAACCTGGCCTTCTTTGGATCTTCCTCCTGCTTACATTGCAGGAGAGCATTAAGATGATGCTATTTCGTGTTCAAGATGGTAATGAATGAAGTGAGCATCTGGCTGGCAGAGAAAAGGGCTGCTAGATACCTAGTGGAGGCAGGTGTCTTAATCCAGTAGAAGGAAAACACTTTTGTTACTGGGAACCAGATTTTGCCCTTCTGCTTAACTCATATTAAGAACTTACTGTGTATTCACTTGATGAATCTAAGATAGACTACAAGGGTAATTTTTCTGACTGGAAAGAGGTTTAAAAAGAAAGGGGCCTGGGTTGTGAGCCAGTGGAAGCCCTCAGGGGGTTTGGGTAGGCAGGAAAGAAGCTTCCCCTGCACTGTCCTGCTTCTGTTCTGGGAGGCCTTGTGCCTTCTCTAATCAGAGCAGTAAGGAGATTGCCAGACTCTACCCTCACCAGCCTCTTGTCTTGTAGCTGCGGGCGCCTACCTGCCCCCCCTGCAGCAGGTGTTCCAGGCACCTCGCCGGCCTGGCATTGGCACTGTGGGGAAACCAATCAAGCTCCTGGCCAATTACTTTGAGGTGGACATCCCGAAGATTGACGTCTACCACTACGAGGTGGATATCAAGCCGGATAAGTGTCCTCGCAGAGTCAACCGGTAAGTGATGCATGTCTGAGTCACCTTGTCCACGAGTCTTCACTTTCCTGAGTCTCAAAACTTTGAAAGAGGATCCAGAGAGGTACAAGAAAAACTAGCAGGGCGTGTTATCAACAAACTCAAGAAAGTTCTGAGAAGGAGATTCCAAGTATGGTAAATTTCAAAAAGTACTACTGGATTTGGCTGTTAGGAGATAGTTGATGCCTTTTGCCAGAGCAGTTCAGTAGAGTAGTTGGGCTAGTAATCTGACTACAGGGAATTAAGGAAAGTAGAAGGTAATGTGTTAAGGGTAGTGAGAACAGATAGCTTTTTCCAGATAGCTCGACAGTGAAGTGGGGGGAGAAAGGGAATATATTGGTTAGAGAGGATTATAGGGGTCAAATACAGTGCCTAGAGCATTTCAGTATTTGTTGAAATGAATGAATGAAAAGTTTTTAAGAATGAGACACAGATGTGTTTATAAACTGAGGAGAAGGAACTAGTGGAAAAGGAGAGGTTAAAGGTACAGGACCAAGAGGGGAAGACTGAGTGGGATGTCCTTGCTGAGGCAGGAGGACATGACGGGATACATAGGGGGATTAGAAGAAGAAATATTTCTTATTTTATTATTATTTGAAAACTGTACAATTTTTAAAAGATTAAAACATTATAAAAAGACTAACAGTGAAAAATGTCTATTACCCTGGTCTCTAGTCACCGGTTTCCTTCCCCACAGGCATTTGTTGTTCACTCTTGAGTATGTTTCCAGATATTTTTCTATGCATATGTAAGCATATGTATATATAGAACATTATTTTCAATGCACAGGGTGTAGAGTCCTGTATACCTTGTTCTGCACCTTGCTTTTTTCCACTGAACAGTATATTTTAGAAAATCATACATACCAATACATACATATCTTCCTCATTCTTTTGCATAACTCTATAGGTATGCCATTGAATGGATGTATTATAACTTATTTAGGAAATCTATTGAGGAACATTTAGGTTGAGTCTAAGCTTTCAATACAAAATTAAACTGTGTTGAATATTAAATATAAATAAATTTTTGTACCATACTGCACCAATTTAGTATATTGGATTTTTTGATCTTTGGTATTCTTAAAAATAGAGAATTATTTCTTGGTCTAATTTTAAAATGTGTTTCTCTAATGAGTAAAACTGAACATATTTTCATATGTTTAAAAATTATATAAGGAAGAGACATTTCAGGTGTGAAAGGAAAGAAAGGAAAAGGGGTGTGCATATATAATATGTTTGTTTATATGTCTGGGGACTTGAGGTAGGCCGTGCCTACTGTGCTCTCCTCTTTTCAGAGGTATTAGAGGTAGGAATGGGTTCTGGAGTTGGAGGGTAGTGGAGAAGGTTCGATACAGACTATGAGGGATGGAAGTGATTAGGGATGGACATGAAAAAGATTTCTGGATAGTACTGAAGCCTGATTGGGGTTGAAACCATGTGTTTATAGTTGCTTCCAATGTACATTTTGAGTCTTTTTTTCCAGTAGTATTCAAGAGTGAAGAGGTCAGATAGTTTGATGGGCTGGGATTTTGAAGGACTGATGAATACTCTGGAATCTAAGTGGCAGAGGACAGGAAGTGAAATCAAGAAAGAGATGATAATAGAAAATGGAGTGGTGGGACTTAGAGCTTTAAAAGGATAGGAGAGGTTCTTCTTCCATAGTTTATTCCTATTGCAATTCAGATCTCTTCCCCATCTACTTTTTTTGCTTATCAGCTTGGGAATTATAGCAACTTGAATCTTCTTCCTGATTCTTGATAGATCCTGCAATTAAGCCCTTCTCCCTTCTGCTTGGAAGGCATTCACACTCACTCTTTCAGGTCCTCTAGAGCCTTGGTGATCTGAGGACCAGAAGCATCACCTGGCAGCTTGTTAGAAATATAGAATTTCAGACTTTGCTCTAGACCTACTGAATCAAAATCTGCATTTTAATAAGATATCCAGATTCATATGAATGTTGAAGTTTGAGAAACACTGCCATGGAGTAGATGAGATTAGAGTAGCTGCTGGAGAGAATATAGTAGATGGGACATTGCCTGGATATTCAGGCTATTTCCAAAAGCTTGAAGCGGTAGTCTCTCAGCTTCCACAGGCCACTCCTATCCCCCACAGGGAAGTGGTGGAATACATGGTCCAGCATTTCAAGCCTCAGATCTTTGGTGATCGCAAGCCCGTGTATGATGGAAAGAAGAACATTTACACTGTCACAGCACTGCCCATTGGCAACGAACGGGTAAGGTTGGGAGTTAGGCTAGAACTGTGTTAGGAGTCTTTGGTGGGACAGAACTCATGTAAGCCTGTTTGGAATTTGGTAGTCCAGAGATCCCTGTCGTCTTTTGTGCTGAGAAAGTGTGTTTAGGGTGAGGGGTGGGTAGGTGCTGGTGTTAATTTAGCCTACCATATGTCAGTCCCTTTCCCAAACAGACTGAGCATAGACTCAAAATGAACCTAAAGGACTTCCTGCTAGGTATGGTTGAGAGAGACAGAAGCACTAAGTCAAAAAGACTAAGTCAAGGTGGCTTGAGACTAAGGGGCTGGATTTACTCTGAAGTCTTAATTGTGAGCCCCTATCAGCTTAAGGAGCAGATAGATTCTTGGCAGATCTGTTGGGTTGGGGGAAGCTGGGGCAGAGCAAGCAGTGTTGGACCTGTGGGAAAGCATTGGCGACCCTCCACCCCCTTCTCTCTCCTTGAAGGTTGACTTTGAGGTGACAATCCCTGGGGAAGGGAAGGATCGAATCTTCAAGGTCTCCATCAAGTGGCTAGCCATTGTGAGCTGGCGCATGCTGCATGAGGCCCTGGTTAGTGGCCAGATCCCTGTTCCCTTGGAGTCTGTGCAAGCCCTGGATGTGGCCATGAGGCACCTGGCATCCATGAGGTACTGGGTGTAGTTAGTATCTGGGCTTCTAGTGGTGGCAGAACTGCTGTGCGGGGAGGTGGGGAATGAGCACATATTAAAATCTCACTTTGTGCTCTTTCAAATAAAAAAATTATTTGAAGCCCTACCGTATGCCAGGCAAGTGTGCGTATACATTTAGATGGTTTAAAGCCTTGGCCCTGTCCCTTTTAGACGTCTTTGGACCTCATCCCATCTGTCCCTGAAGGGCAGAGAGAGGGTAGAGACTTGCACAAGGTCAGTCACACAACTAGTAAAGGATCAGAGCTGGAATTAAAGCCCTGGTGTCCTGCCTTCCAGGCCAGGGCTCCTCCGTGCCCAGGATGCCTCACAGGGTGGGGGCCTGTGCCCGAGGGACCAGTTCTCTGCCTGTCCCTGCCAGGTACACCCCTGTGGGCCGCTCCTTCTTCTCACCGCCTGAGGGCTACTACCACCCGCTGGGGGGTGGGCGCGAGGTCTGGTTCGGCTTTCACCAGTCTGTGCGCCCTGCCATGTGGAAGATGATGCTCAACATTGATGGTGAGTGGGGAGAGCAGTGGAGCCAGGGGCACCCTGAGTCCAACAACCACTCTCCCAGCCTCATCCCTCCCAGCTCTGCAACCACACTCCTAGACTAATCCCTACAGCCCTGGGACTCCTCCCACATCCCGGTACCCTAGAAGGAAGAGGGTGTAAAAAATAGTGCCTCCATTTATTCTGGAAGACAAAGCTGAGCTGAGCTATACCTACCCTGTCCCCACAGTCTCAGCCACTGCCTTCTACAAGGCACAGCCAGTGATTGAGTTCATGTGTGAGGTGCTGGACATCCGGAACATAGATGAGCAGCCCAAGCCCCTCACTGACTCCCAGCGCGTTCGCTTCACCAAGGAGATCAAGGGTGAGGACCCAGTCAGGTGGGGGAGGGAACAGCACTACTTTCTCTTTGGTCCTAAAAGGAAATCCCTGTGGGATATGTTCAGGGGAGAGGCTAAGCGTGGGCACATGAACAACCTTTCATAACCCTTACGATCAGTGTGTGTACCCCAGGCCTGAAGGTGGAAGTGACCCACTGTGGGCAGATGAAGAGGAAATACCGTGTATGTAATGTTACCCGCCGCCCTGCCAGCCATCAGACGTAAGTTGACCGGGCTGCTAAACTATACCATTGGTGGAAGAGGGCTGATATTTCAACATATTCCTTTTATTCTCCCGACCCCTGCTTCCCTTTCCTGCCACTGGCCCTGGGGATGAGCCCTATTTTTTTTTGTTGTTATTTTTTTATTTTATCAAATGTGGGAATTTGGCATTCCTTTCCCTCAACTTTTCCAGACCCATTGATACTCTCCCTACCATTTTTAATTTCTTGATCTCCTCCTTTCCCCCTTGGACCTTTACTGTAGAGCAGGTATCTTCCCCTGACTCCTGTCTCAGTCCTGTAATAGAATCTCTCTCAATTTATTCTTCCTCCTGAAAAAGAAAGCTGGGCTCCTGGGTTAGACCTTGGGGAAGCTGTCACTGATTGTGTCCACCTTCTTGACCTCAGGTTCTCCTGGACTGTGAGTGCCTACTGTGTTTCAAGCTTTATGCTCGACACTAGAAATGTAGATGAGTACAGTATGGTCCTGACCATCATGAAATTTGCCTCTCAAATCTTTGGCTTCACTCTTTTTTAAAAAATTAATTATTTATTTTTTATTAAGGTATCATTGATAGACTTTCTTATGAAGGTTTCACATGAAAAACATTGTGATTACTACATTCACCCATATTATCAAGTCCCCCCTGCCACGCCCCATTCCAATCACTATCTATCAGCATAGTAAGATGCCACAGAGTCACTACTTGTCTTCTCTGTGCCACACTGTCTTCCTTACCCCCACCCCAACACACACACCTTGTGTGTCAATCATAATGCTTTGGCTTCACTCTTGGAGCCCTCTATTTATTACCTGCTTTTCCATGAATGGCAGTGCTCAAAGCCGATTAGGGAAGAAGCCAAGTCTAGATTTTTCCATGGTTGTAAATCTAGAGAGGTGGAATTGAATGCTGGGCTATGACACCTCCTTTCCTTCCCCCAAACAGGTTTCCCTTGCAGCTGGAGAGTGGACAGACTGTAGAGTGCACAGTGGCACAGTATTTCAAGCAGAAATATAACCTTCAGCTCAAGTATCCCCACCTGCCCTGCCTGCAAGTTGGCCAAGAACAAAAGCATACCTACCTGCCCCTGGAGGTGAGGCTGGGCTGGGAACAACATTGCACCTGCACTCTTATCCTCAGGCTGTTCTTCTTATCCTCTTTTTGAAGTTTAGAAAATTGACATTCTGACAGGTAGGAGGTCATTCTATGAAATATAGGCCTTATTCTTGCCTACTGAGTTCTTTCTTCTTATCCCCTATCCTGGTCTCGTGTTCTTTCAGGACTTCCAGGCAGAGATAAAAGTTGTTTATGTTTAATAAGTAAGTAATTCCTTCAGGACAGAGATTTCAGATACCTAGACTAATGTCTGCTTAATTTCTCTTTTCCTGTGTGAAGCTGGGGATCCTAAATGACCTAGAGATCCAAGTGTACCTTATTTTGCAGAAAATGGAGATGAATGTTACCTATACTGTGGATCTTATTTACCCGATGATCAATACATTCCTTTTAAAAAAGGTTTAGCTCCAAGATTTGTTGTATTATCATTTGGCAGACCTATGAAATCCTACTGTTGAGAAAGAATAATGATGCTATTTAAGTCATAGAATACAAATGTAGAACCATTGGGTTATATTTGGTTTGGTGTATGCTAACCAAAATGTCTAATGAGAAACTTCTGCTGACTGCTTCATTGTCTAGTCCAGTGCTACTCAAAGTGTGGTTGGCAGTATTATACAGCATAGGTACTACCTGGGAGCTGGTTTGAAATGCAGAATCCCGGGTTCTACCTAGACCTACTGAATCAGAATCTGTCTTTTAACAGAATCCAAAGAGGATTCATATGAACATTAAAGTTGGAAAAACACTAGCCTCAACTACCATCTTATTTTGTTCCAGCAACAGGAGTCAGACAGCTAGGACCAAAGCTTAAGCCTTATATGAGCTTCTCGCTTTTCAGAACTAAACAGAGGGAATTAGGACAAAGGGAGAAGATATCCCAAAACCCAATAACTCTGACTTAATTAATAGCTGCTGATGCACAAAAGGTAGAATGAAGGCAATATGTTCTCTGAGGTGTAAGCAGAAATCTTTGACAATCCCAGCTAAGTAGATAGACTTTAGGTAATATTTACCACAAGCTGAGATTTGTTAGCAAATTAATGTTACTTTTGTTTGAACAGTAGTTTCCAAGGTGAATAATTTACATGACTTATATATGATTTTTACTGTTGTTTGTTAAGGAAATTTTTAATGAGCCCCTACTATGTGTCATATACTCTTTAAGGTGCTGGAAATATAGAGATTAACAAGATAGACAAGGTACCTGCTATCATGAAGTGTACATTAATTCTGGAAGGAGATAGACAATAAACTTAAAAATAAAATAGTTTTAGATGGTGATAAGCTATATAAGAATAATAAAGAGGTACAAACTTCAAATTATAAAATAAATTAGTCACAGGGATGGAAGTACAGCATAGGGAATATAGTCAACAATATTATAATAACTTTGAATGGTGGCAGATGGTAACTGCACTTACGGTGAGCATTTAGTAACGTAGATAATTGGCAAATCACTATGTTGTACATCTGCAACCAGTCTAATTTTGCATGTCAACTATATTTCACTAAAAAGTTACATAAAAAAAAAGAAAAGAAAACAGGTTAAGGGGATAGAAGGAGTTGAGGGGGTTAGAGAGCCACTTTAGTTACATGGTCAGGGAAGGTCTCTTTTTGGAGATATTTGAGCTTACTTGCAATTATGAGATAGAAGCAACCTTGTAACAACTGAAGGAAAGAGCCTTCCAGACAAGAAGTAAAAACCAACTACAAAGGTTCTAAAGCAGCAGGGAGCTTGGATCTTTTTAAGAGGTAAGAGGGAAGGCCACTATGCCTGTATGAGCGGAAAAATAGTAGGGGATGATTTTGGAGAGAGGTGTAGGGTCAAATCATGTAGGTTATCATAGCCAGGTGGAATTTTTTCTTTTTTAAGAGCTTAGATATAATTCACATACCATAAAATTCACCTTAAAATGTTCAGTTCAGTTGTTTTTAGCATATTCACCAAGCTGTTCAACCATCATCACTGTTTGGTTCTAAAACACTTCTGTCACCCCCAGAATAAAACTCCTATGCCCGTTAGCAGTCACTTATGTTTCTTTTCCCTGACCCTCTACCAGCCCTGTGTAACCACTAATCTACTTCTGTCTCTGTGGATTTGTCTATTCTGGATATTTGTTATATATTAAGTTACATAACATGTGGCCTCTTTTGATTGGCCAGACTCAGCATAATGTCTTTGAGGTTCATCTGTGTGGTAGCTTCTGTCATAATTTCCTTCCTTTCTAAGACTGAATGATATCCCAGTGTATGTGTCTACCACATTTTGTTTATCCATTCATTCACTGATGGACTCAGGTTGCTTCACCTTTTAGCTATTGTGAATAATGCTGCTGTGAATGTAGGTGTACAACTATTTGTTCTAGTCCCTGCTTTCGTTCCTTTTGAGTACCTATCCAGAAGCAGGGTTACTGAATCCTGTGGCAATTAATTCTATGTTTAATTTTTTGAGGAATCACCAACCTTTCTACAGCAGTATGTGGAAAGCTGTACCATTTTACATTTCCACCAGCAGTGCACAGGGGTTCCCATTTCCCCCATCCAGTTTTTCCCTGCTTTTGTCTCTTTCCTAGTATTGATTCTATAGCTGAAATCACCTGTAGGGAGTGTGACATCTTTAAGGTACCTTCAAGAAAGCAGCCTCACAAATTTTAACAATCCTGGATTTTTATTAAATGAATTGACTGATTTGTTAGTATTCCTTGGGATAGGGTTTAAGGGCAGGTGGTGGTGTCCTGGTTTTCTCCACTGTTGTTCAGCATGAACTCTGAGAATTAGGAAGAGAACCAGTGTTTACAGACTGTTGGCTCAATGGGAGTAAGTTATACATTTCCTTTTGTTTAAATTCTCACAACAACTTCATGAGACTGCTAGTGTTTTATTCTGTGACTGAAATTAAAGAAACAGAGTGGGTAAGAGACCTGCACAAGGTAACATCACTTAGAAATGGCAAAGCTGGTCTCAAAACTCAAGTCTTCCAAACCTACTGGCTCTCTCTACTTTGACAACCAAAGGCCTCTTGTTCATGGCATCTTGAGTACAGTATTTTGAGGAATGGAAGTCCTGTATATCCCTAGATAGTGTTTTCTGATCTCCATCATGCTCTGTGGGGCCCATTACAGGAACTGCGTAGCAGGGTGTTCCTTATGCCAACAGAGACAGTGATTTCTGTTGTCCAGGGACTCTATAATCATCTGTAGGCTGTTCAAGAGTCAAGTTCTGGTGGTGGACTGCAGGATGGAGCAACTGACTGCCTCCCACCATTGGAGAGATGCCTTCTACCTTAGGATTCAAGTTTGTGTGTATTGAGTTTTTTAATATTCAGAAGAGCTCTGTACTGGGTCCTTTGGTAAATAATAATTATGCAACAATTTATTGAGTGTTTAGTATGTTCCAGAATCATACTCAATCCTTTAAGTGCTTTATTTTATTTACTCACTAAACAACCCTATGAGATTGTTACTGTTCTTCCCATTTAGCATAAGAGACCTGAACCCAGATCTAGTTCTGAATCTCAAGCTCTTAATCACAGAGTGGCTATATTGCCTTTTAATTATATAAGTGTTTTCTCACATACTGTCTGTGCACAAGGGATTTTGCAGTTCCCTTGCCAGTGCTGACAGCCAATTTCTCTTCCCTTACTGTGGGGCTCTGAGTACAGGTGGACTGTACTCCAACCAGAGCTACCTATCCTCATTTCTTAGGTCTGCAACATTGTGGCTGGGCAGCGCTGCATTAAGAAGCTGACTGACAACCAGACTTCAACTATGATAAAGGCTACAGCTAGGTCGGCCCCGGACAGACAGGAGGAGATCAGCCGCCTGGTCAGTGGGGCTCCTGAGGAATGTGTGCTTGGGTGCTTAGTCACTGGGGCCCCTGATAGCATAGATGCTCTGCTGCCTTGGCAGGACCCTCCGGAGAACACAAATACGGATTTGTTGCCTGGGCCCCCAAAGGACTGTTCTTGTTTCTTGATCCTATAGCTACTTAGCTTCCTATCTCTTTTTCCCTCCTGTATTTCTTCTCTGTGTTTTTCACTCCCATGTACCTCATCTTCCACTTCTCCCCCTTTATAGGGCTATTCCCTGCCAATACCAGCTGCTCTTCAGGGCTTTCTCCTTAGGACCCAGAGGGTGAGAAGTATTGCCAAGCAGTACTGTTAATATTGCTGCTCTCCTGAGATAACCCCCTCTTTTTAACTTGCAGATGAAGAATGCCAGCTACAACCTAGATCCCTACATCCAGGAATTTGGGATCAAAGTGAAGGATGACATGACGGAAGTGACGGGGCGAGTGCTGCCGGCGCCCATCTTGCAGTACGGCGGCCGGGTGAGCAGGGTCAGGGCCAGACATCATCTCTGGGGCATGTGAGGGGGAGGTTGGGTTGTATAGCCAGGGGCTTTTGCTCCCCTACCCATTTGGCTCTACTGAGGCTCACCTGGGCGCCCCCTTTGCCTATCCCCAGAACCGAGCCATTGCCACACCCAATCAGGGTGTCTGGGACATGCGGGGGAAACAGTTCTACAATGGGATTGAGATAAAAGTCTGGGCCATCGCCTGCTTCGCACCCCAAAAACAGTGTCGAGAAGAGGTGCTCAAGTAAGGAGGGTTGTTGGGTGTACGGGTGGAAGGGTGGGAGGTACCCTAGAACTGCCTACCTTCCCCTGCCCACAAGGGGCCAAGATTTGATGTGTAGTCTGCTCTTTCTCTTGACTCTGCCTCCCTGAGCTATCTGGCTCAAACTTCTGCCTGTTTGGTTTCTGTCCATCTGTGGTCAGGAGTCTTGACAAGGAGCTATATCCATGTGAGAGATGATGATTTCAGGGTATGAATATCCTAAGGGAGGCCTGAATTATTTTATTGTTAAAATGATAAACATTGGTAGTAAATAGTAGTAGTGATGACCTTAATGTTTATGCCAACATTGTACCTAATATTATGTTCTCTCATTTCATCTTCACAGTGACTAGATGGTAGTATTTCCATCTTCAGGAGACTGAGGCTCAAAGAGGTTAAATAACTTGTACAAGGTTTGCATATCAAGAAAGTGCCAGAGTTGGCATCAAATCACATCCGAGGCTTTGTAGCTTATATTCCTAATTGGAAACAAAATTTCAGCTGTCCTCTGAGCACAAAATTTGTTAAGTCAGATCTAAGTGACTTTAATTAGGTGAACATGAGTTTTAAGTGCCTCTGAGCCACCGGTGGCTGAGGGGCTGGGAGGAGATGACATCAGTGAAGAAAGTGATACATCTAAATGGTTGAAAGGAACAAGTTAAGGGAATAATGGTCTTGAGTTAGTCAATGAGTAAGTGAAAAAAAATCACTGTTTTATTCTGTGAATAGTTCTGTGGTCTTTTTTTTTAACTGCTTTATTGAGATATATTTTAAACAACACAAAATTCACCCATTCAAGTGTATAGTTCTCTAGTTCTTGTAGTCTTTTGAAGTGGTGGCTTCTTTATCCTCTCTGGATCTGGAGTGGGGTCAGGGCACTCTAGGGTGAGAAAGAGTTGGTGATGCTGACCGCTTTGAGCAGTGATGAGGCTAACAGAGATGTGTGTCCCGGTGGGTTCAGCTGGCCTTGGGGTTTTCATAATAAGCTACATCAGCCCCTGGTGACCCCGGGGACTCTGGCTGCCCTGCTCGTCCTCCCCCCTCCTCCCTTCACAGATATACAACCACCACCATCACAATTATGGTTTCTTTTAAATGGGTTCTTCTTGTCCCCTTTCCTGGTTGTTTGGGATTTTAGCCCCATTTAGAGCAGGCTGCTCCTAGCCTTGGCCTAGCATTGGAGAGCTGGCCCTTAGCAACACCGGAAAGGCTCACAGCTCTCTGCCTTTGTGTCATCTTGTTCAAAGTTCTTTTCTCTATGTTCTATTATCTTATTCCATATTCTTCCTCTATCTAGTTCTTTTGAGAAACAATCCATTGTTGTAGATATTTTGGGGTACAGAACTGATAAATCTAGAATCTCAGAGTTGGAAGGAGTCAGTTCATCAGACATCCCCTCCTCCCAGTTCTCCCTAGATGCAGGAGGCAAGACTGCTACCTGCACACCAGGGTCAGTGGCCCCCAGCTGCATGTGTAGTTCTGGGGAGTCTTCAGCTAAGAGTAGATGGCAGTGGATGAGGCTGTCCAGGGAAAATGTACGTTGTGAACAGAATTTGAAAATAGAGAAACTGGAAAGGAAATAGAGCCAAATTCCCAAATGTGCATGAGGGGATGGGATCCAGAGCACAGGAAAAGGCATCCTTTCCACTGAGACAAAGGGAGAAAAGATGAAGGTGGCCATGGAGGTGGAGAAACTGGGTGGATGAGTGAGTCCTAGGGTCAACCCTCAAATTTTTTCTTCTGTCTAAGAGGCCCTATTACCTCAGAATAGCACTTTTAGGACTGGATTTCAAGACCATCCCCATCCTATTCTCTCAACACTTTCTGGCCCCCAGTACCAGACATATATCCTAAGTGTGATCTGGTAGTGGACAGACAATTTGGAATATCACTTTTCTTTTTCTTTTTTTTTTTTGAGATTAACTTAATCTCACAGCTTTATTGATTTGTGTGTTTGTGTGTGTGTGTTTGTGTACATGGTTTTTCTCAGAATTGATAATTCAACATTTGTTATCTCTAGAGATGTACTTTAAATTGAAAGAGTTTTGTTACTAATTTTATTCTTTGCCTTAGTCCTGACTTTTCTTATTAAACAACTCTTTTAGGCATAACATTATTTCAGACACCCTTATTTAAAGTCACCCTTATAATACAGAACAGAGTCATAGGTGTGTTCCTTCACATATTATATCACTTACACTAAATTCTCCAGACCATCATCATCTCTTGTTACTCTTCCATTCTGACTTAGGCATCAAATACATTATTTCAGTGTGTTCTCACTCTCTTCTCTTTTGCTAGCTTTATAAACAATTGCCTTGTAAAAACATGCCAGACTCCAAGTTTGGGGAGACAGTGTGACAGTAATGTAGTGTATAGTATGGGCTTGAGCCAGGCTGCTCAGGTCTAAATCCATCCTCTGCTATTTATTCTGTCAAAGTTTCCTTATCTGTTAAGGAGAGATAAAAACTAGTATGACCATATACAATTTATCATCCAAACCAGGATACTTCTGAGAGTGAAAAGAGGCACTTAATTTTAGATAAGGTGAAACAGCAAGCTTAAACCAGGGCTGCCCCAGGCAAACTGGGAAGGTATGCCACAATAGTAAAGAGTCTAACTCAGAAGGTAGTTGAGTATTGAACAGTTGAATATAAAGAGCTCAGAACAGTGTCAGGGAGTAGGTGAACGAACGATCAAAGTGTAGTTAATCATAGCAGCATGCAAGTATTTTTTAATATAGTATTTCTCAGAATGTAGAACATACGCCACTGGTAATCAATGATACAGAACCCATAAATAAGCTACAAGGATTCCAGTGCCTGTGGAACACAAGTGAAGACATCGGTGTTTTGTGACTTACATCTAAATTATATTTGTACAGTGTGGTATGCATTCTTTCATTCAATAATGAGCGCCTTTTATCCAAGCACACTTCTAGGTGCTTAGAATATGTCAGTGATTAAGAGAGACAAAGTTGGCATGTAGTTACAGTATGAAGCTTTTATGAAAAATGAAGTTTTTTTTTTTTTTAGTTTGACCCAACTTTTATTGAAGAATGCAGATTGCACTGAGTGGTCATTACTCTCTTTTACAAAATTCACAAACTACATTTTTTTTTCCATATTGTTTAGGTATAATTACTTGAACATTATGGTTACTGGACTGACCCTATTATCAAGTCCCCTCCACATACTCCATTACAGTCACTGTCCATCAGCGTAGTAAGATGCTATAGAATCATTACTTGTCTTCTCTGTATATACTGCCTTCCCCATGTCCCCAGTCCCCTCATTATGTGTGCTAATTATAATGCCCCATTTTCCCCCTTATCCCTCCCCTCCCACCCATTCTCCCCAGTCCTTTTCCCTTTGGTAACTGTTAGTCCATTCTTGGGTTCTGTGAGTCTGCTGCTGTTTTGTTCCTTCAGTTTTTTATTGTTGTTATACTCCACAGATGAGTGAAATCATTTTATACTTGTCTTTCTCTACCTGGCTTATTTCACTGAGCATTATACCCTCTAGCTCCATCCATGTTGCTGCAAATGGTAGGATTTGTTTTCTCCTTATGGCTGAATAATATTCTATTGTGTATATGCACCACCTCTTCTTTATCCATTCATCTACTGATGGACACTTAGGTTGCTTCCATTTCTTGGCTATTGTAAATAGTGCTGCAATAAACATAGGAGTGCATATGTCTTTTTCAAACTGAGCTGCTGCATTCTTGGGGTAAATTCCTAAGAGTGGAATTCCTGGGTCTGGAATACCACTTTTCTTGAAGTAGAGACCTACTTATTAATGGAACCTAGTAACACACTGGTTTTCGAAGTAGCTGCACTGGAGTTGTATACAAGGCACAGAGAAATACTGTTAGTGTATCAGAGCCCCGTCTCTTATTTACATGAAATACTGTTAGGTTATATATTTTTAATTCTAACATTTATTTTGAAGAATTAAAAAAAGAAAGACAACCATCAAATAATATGGCAAACATCCAAGTATCCATCATCCAGAGTTTTATCATATTTATTTTATCCTTTAAAAAAAGTAAATAAAATACTACAGATAAATTTGGCTTTTCGTTATATCCTCCTAGTCCCTTTCCTTCCTTCAGCTGCAGCTGTCATGAATTATAATTACCTTCCTATCCAATTTGTATATTCATATACCTACATGTATGTAAGAAACTTTAAATTTTATGTAACAGTATTATACCATATTTATCTTTCATTTATTTTACTAAATATATGGGAAAATAGTTGTAGTTATCACTATATAGGCTTTTGAATCTATCATGGTGATATTTATATGCTATACAATATCCTCTAAACAATTGCTTTCATTCTCTATTTCTACATTATTGTTATTAGTCTATTTTTAGCAGGATTTTCACGAATTAAATTTCCTGCTGCTCATTTCAGTCTATCATATTTTTATAGCTTGATTTTTAAAATCTATTCCATGTGTACAGTCTTCCAACTTTGTCTTCCTTTCCTAGGGTAAAACTGTAAAGCCAAAGGAAAGAAACTTTTTAAATTATTTGCTCTTAGGCTTCAAAGAACCAGTAGGAGGTGAAGTGGAGCTCATTTTTACTCAGCACCTCCTGTGCTATGATCACTGTTGGAACCTTTTTTTAATTTGAGCAAAGAGGCCCCCCCTCTTGTGCATCTGCCTATTGCTAATGACTTTATAAGAGAGCATAAGAAGCAGCTGTTTGGGATAAAGTGGGGACACTGAGAATTCCCACAGGTCCCTTCTCTGGTGTTACTCAGCTCTCTGCTTACACCATTGGACATTTAGCAAGCTGTTTTGTTCTGCACAGTTATAAATGTATTTTTTACACTAGATGATGGTGTCTCGTTCTTCTTCTAATCTCTCAGTGCCTATCATAATGCTTGGCAGCTGAGGTGGAAGTATCTGGTTAGAGATATTGAAGTGGGACTTAATGCCTCCTGTCATGACCATACTTGTGTTGCAGGAACTTCACAGACCAGCTGCGGAAGATTTCCAAGGATGCAGGGATGCCCATCCAGGGCCAGCCTTGCTTCTGCAAATATGCGCAGGGGGCGGACAGCGTGGAGCCCATGTTCCGGCATCTCAAGAACACCTACTCAGGGCTGCAGCTCATAATTGTCATCCTGCCAGGGAAGACGCCAGTATATGGTACAGTTCTCTTGGGGCAGTGATATCCGTGATAGGACTTTTTTGGGGGTAGCTCCCTGGAATCTCCTGTGTGGATTCTTAGCCTTAGGCAGAGCTGTTCCTTAATGTCAGTGCTCATCTTATAGGAGAAACAATCAGCCTGTATGGGCCGTTGACTTTCCCAGGTCCTGCTTACATGCTCACAATCCCCACCCATTAACATTTATTGGGGTCCTCCATGCACCAGTCTTTATTGCAGGCTAAGATGTCCAGATATAGAGATGGGGGTGGTCTGGATTCCTGTCCTTAGAAATGCATTGTCTATTGGGATATTGTGCAAGCACACCCATGCAGGAATTTTGTGATGGTTCTGTTAGTGTTCTGTTTCTTGGGAATGACTTAGACTTTTTGAAAAGTTTCCTCTTCCTCTTTTTTAAGAATAGGAATGAATACATATTCCTCTCTGGCTCAGTAGTTTCCTCTTATTGTTTTCCTTCTTCACCTCTCCTCCTTCAAAGGAAGAGGTGTCCTTGCTCACCTCATGTGAGCTCTTACCATCCCATCCTGTTGCCTTTTGGACTTCATATCCTTTAATCCTCAAATATCTTCAGATTCCCCGTCCTAGAGCACATTACCACAGTCATGCCATCTCCTTTAGCTTTTGTTTTTCTTCAAACTCTCTGAAGGTCACTCTCTGTGTTTTCTATACCCACTTCCTCACCAGCCACTTACTCATTCACCTCTTCATCTATTTTACTATCTTTTCTCTAAACCTCCTTTGCAGAGGGTCACCAGTGACCTTTCTCAGTTCTCTTAATTTTTTGATATTCTCTCCTGTCTGTATTTTTGTCATTAACAGGAATGCCTGGTATTTTCCAGATTTCTGTACTCTGACCCCTTTCTGTCTTCACATTCTAGTTAAATTCTCATCCATTTTAGTTGCTTTATTCATTACCTATTGTTCTTATATATTATGATGTACTATTAAAATCTCAATCCAACCCTTGACCTCTCTGTAGATCCCATCTGTCCTTTTGACTTCTTTCCCGTATTTCTGTAAGAGTTGGTTGATCACCTAGTATGTATGAAACACTGTGCTAAATCCTGAATACATTGGTGACTAAAACAGATGTAGCCTCTGTCCTTATGAAGTGTTTTGGTGGATCATCTCTTTAGTAGCTTGTCTTCTGCTCCTCTGTGTACCACTAAGCCCTTCTCTTTACTTCCCTCTTCTGTTCTGAATGACAGTGCTTCTGGCTACCTTTACCCAGACTTTGGAGACGGTCTGTCTTCTCTTTGCTTCACCTCCATTGTTCTTTCTTACAATCTTAAGATAATATTCCCTGTTCAAATTTGTTCTAACGTTTCTTCTTAAATCTTTCTTATACAGGTTACTGAATGAGACTTTTTTGTGATTGTACTCTCAAAAAACCTTCATTGGTCCCCATTCACAAAATAAAAGTTTTTTAGGGCCCTGAACTTAGTTTCACCTTTTCAGCTTTACCTCGTCTTGTTCCCTTTGCTGCACATACCAGAAAGATCACTTGTTCTGGAATTCGATAGAACTGGATTTTAATCCTGGCTATGCCAGTTTCCTGGCTTAGGCAAATTACCTAACCTTTCTGAGCCACACAAATTAATGATATAAAAAGCAGCATCTAACAACAGTGCCTGGCACACAGTAGATACTCCAAATGCTCATGCCTTGTCTGTGCTTTCCAGTCTCTGAATTTACTTACATCATTTGCCCATGCCTAAAGTATTCTTCTTCTTATCCTCCACTTTGCCCTTAAAATTCTCTTCATCCTTGAAGTCCCAGTTTAAATGTACTATTTACTTATTCCAGGAAGCCTTCTCTCATCATCCCACCTAAAAGATAAATCTTTCTGGATTATTCTAGAAATATTATTGGGCTGCTGATCAGTATTGTTTAATACTGATCTTGCTTAATATTATTTGAGCATGGAGTAGATCTGATTCTGTTCTGAAACCTTCTTCCCTCTGTATCTACACACCTACACACCTAAGGTACAACCATCCACTGACATGATACTCAATTCTTACAGAGTGAGGTTAGTTTACCTCCAATCCATGCATCTCTAGGGCCTTAAATTGATGTCCCTTGGATGAAGATAAGGATACTTTGAAGGAGAACTGCTTTTGGTAATTACCCACATTTTTGGTTCCCTCCATTAAAGGGAGATTCTGATGTTTTGGCTTGTCTGGGGAGTAGAATGAGGCACACTTGGGGAAGGCAGTGTATACTCAGAAGATTTTGACTTTCCTGGGCTCAGTAACATTATACCTCTCTCCAGTCTCATACCTTGATTATAACCTTGGGTTAATTCCACTTACATGCTGTCCTTTGATTATATCACTTAGACACTGGGGCTCTCTGCCTGGCAATTAAGCTAGCAGGTAAGAGAAGCAGATTCTTCTAAAGATCCTCACTCTCTCTCCTGGGGGCCAAGTGATAACCCAGGTAAGGTCCAGTTGCACTGTGTTTGCCCTGAGAGTATAGAAGGACAGTGTCATATTTGTCCAGTTCTAATCTGCTACCATACCTCATCCTGTCCTTAGTATTTTTAACTCCTTCCTTTCCACTAAATTGATACTATTGTCCTTTTTTTAAATTTAAAGAGTATAATATACATATAGAAATCTTATGTGTTCATGTGAATCTTATGTGTACTTATGTGAATTTTCACAAAGTATCACAGCAGGGTAACTAATACCCAGTTCTCATAGCAGGAAATTACCACAACTCCAGGCTACCAGTCACTACAATTCCCCATTAATGGTAACCACTATTATTCTGACTTCTAACACCATAGATTAGTTGCACCTGTCTTTGAACTTCTTATAAATGGAATCATATGTTATATACTCTTTTTGTGTTTGGCTTTCACTCAACATTATGTTTGTGAGACTCATCCATGTTTGTATATTTGTAGTTTTTATAGTTAGTCCATCATATGAATATAAAACAGTTATTATTCTACTGTTAATGGACATATTTGGGTTATTTCCAGTTTTTACAATTAGAAATGTGCTTCAGTGAACATTCTTGTGCATGTCCTTTCAACATATATCCATTTTTATTAGTTGTTTAACTTGGAGGTTTTTTTGTTTTTGTTTTTGGTATCACTAATGTACAATTACATGAGCAACATTATGGTTACTAGACTCCCCCCATTATCAAGTCCCCACCACCTACCCCATTACAGTCACTGTCCATCAGCATAGTAAGATGCTATAGAATTACTACTTGTCTTCTCTGTGTTGTACTACCTTCCCTGTGCTCCCCCCACCACTACATTATGTGTGCTAAACATAATGTCCCTTTTTCCCCCTTCTCCCTCCCTTCCCACCCACCCTCCCCAGTCCCTTTCCCTTTGGTAACTGTTAGTCCATTCTTGGGTTCTGTGATTCTGCTGCTGTTTTGTTCCTTCAGTTTTTGCTTTGTTCTTATGCTCCACAGATCAGGGAAATCATTTGATACTTGTCTTTTTTCCACCTGGCTTATTTCACTGAGCATAATACCCTTTAGCTCCATCCATGTTGTTGCAAATGGTAGGATTTGTTTTCTTCTTATGGCTGAATAATATTCCATTGTGTATATGTACCACATCTTCTTTATCCATTCATCTACTGATGGACACTTAGGTTGCTTCCATTTCTTGGCTATTGTAAATAGTGCTGCGATAAACATAGGGGTGCATATGTCTCTTTCAAACTGGGCTTCTGCATTCATAGGGTAAATTCCTAGGAGTGGAATTCCTGGGTCAAATGGTATTTCTATTTCTGAGTTTTTTGAGGAACCTCCATACTGCTCTCCACAATGGTTGAACTAATTTACATTCCCACCAGCAGTGTAGGAGGGTTCCCCTTTCTCCACAACCTTGCCAACATTTGTTGTTGTTTGTCTTTTGGATGGTGGTCTTCCTAACTGGTGTGAGGTGATATCTCATTGTGGTTTTAATTTGCATTTCTCTGATGATTAGTGATGTGGAGCATCTTTTCATGTGCCTGTTGGCCATCTGAATTTCTTCTTTGGAGAAGTGTCTGTTCAGATCCTCTGCCCATTTTTTAATTGGATTATTTGATTTTTGTTTTTTGAGGTGCACAAGCTCTTATATATTTTGGATATCAACCCTTTATCGGATCTGTCATTTATGAATATATTCTCCCATCCTGTAGGATGTCTTTTGTTCTATTGATGGTGTCCTTTGCTGTACAGAAGCTTTTTAGTTTATAGTTCCACTTGTTCATTTTTGCTTTTGTTTCCCTTGCCTGAGGAGATATTTCATGAAGAAGTTGCTCATGCTTATGTCCAAGAGACTTTTGCCTATGTTTTTTTCTAAGAGTTTTATGGTTTCATGACTTACATTCAGGTCTTTGATCTATTTCAAGTTTACTTTTGTGTATGGGGTTAGACAATGATCCAGCTTCATTCTCTTACATGTACCTGTCCAGTTTTTAACTTTGAGGTACTTTAAGTGTACAAATTTACATGTCCACCAGCAGCGTATGACAGTTCTAGATACTTTACAGCCTCACCAAATTTGTTAGTCTTTTTCATTTTAGCCATTCTTGTGGGTGTTTTTTGATATTGTGCTGTGCTTTTAATTTCTCTAATGATTGATAAAGCTGAGTGTCTTTTTGTCTTTTGAGTCTTTTGTAAAGTGCCTGCTCAAGTCGTTTCCTTTTTTGTTTTGACTTAACTACCATTTTCTTACTGATTTATAGATGTCCTTTGTAATTCCTTATTTAATATGTATATGTATTACATGTACCTTCTGCTCTGTGGCTTGTCTTTTTACTCTCTCAATGGCACCTTTTGTTAAGCAGAAATTTAAAATTTTAATGTAATCCAGTTTATCAGTATTTTTCCTTGATGTACTTTTGTGTCCTGTTTAAGAAATCTGTAAGTCATGAAGATACTAGTCTGTTTTCTTTAAAAAAATTTTTTTGACCTTTCACACTTGGAACTCGTTTCTCTCCACCAGAAGCCTTTTACTTGCTTTGCCCCTTAGCAGTGGTTCCTCTGCTGGTGCAAAGCGTGGAGTATCAGCCCCCTGCCCACATCTAGAATCAGCAAATGCACCCAGGGCAAAACAGCTGCAGAAGATAGCTCACATCTGAGATTCCCTTGCTCTCTGGAGTTTTAGCCCCTCTTGTCCTTGTTGTCTTAGCACCTCTCTGGTGCCTTCAAAAAGATGATTTCTGTAGTCTATCTGGCTTTTCTGAATGTTCTTTGCAGAAGCACTGGTTTGCCACTAAATACTCCATGTCTCTTGAAAGTGGAAATGATCCCTTTAGCTTTTTGAACATGCTCAAGACTCTGCCGTTGAAACATACCACATCCTCCATTGATCCTACATGTCCTCCTTGGTATTTTATGTCACCAAAATAGTTTTTGCCTTGATATCAGTAAATCATTTTACCTGATCTCTTAGCAGCAACTGACTTTGTTGAACATTTGCTCCTTCCTGAAACATTATCTTTCTTCCCTTGGCATTCATGACACAACACTGTCTTGATCTTCCTCCTAGTTATCTGGATTTTTCTCCTTTGCAGACTCATCTTCCTGTGTGCTGCAAATTCTAGGAATTCCTCAAGATTCTCGTCTAAGCTCTCTTTTCCTTTCACTCTGTTCTCTTCCTTGGTGACCTCATAAAGATCCTGCCTTCAGTTACTACCTGTACTTAAATCTCTCTCCCAGATTTGTATGTCCATTTCAGACTACTCTTGATCTTCCAACTACTATGCTCAGTTGCCTCATTGATATTCTCCCTGGGTTTACCAAAAATGCTTCCAACTCAGAATGTCTCAGAAAGAATTTATGGTGTATCTATTCGATAGAAAAGCTAGAAACTCAGACGTTACCCATAAAAATTATTTTCCCTTGCTCACATATATAGTCTCTTGAGTCCCTTAATATACCTTGAATCAGTTTGTCTCCATCTGGGCAACTGCCTTCTTAATATAAGCTTCTCTCATTTTCCCTTAGATCAGTCTAATGACCATGTCCTTTCTCTCACACTATGGTTTCTTTGCTCTCCTTTGAAAGGTTACTTTGGCCTTTTAGTTTCTCAAACATACATTGCTGTCTTCTGTCTGAGTTTACTTTTTTGTGTACTGTTCCCTCTGCCTGGAATGCTCTCTCCCAAACTCCCCTACTCTTCTAAGTCTTTTTCTGCCTTGAGATTTCACTTCAATCATTACTTAGTCATTTCCTAGCTAGATTATACCCCCTATTAAATGCTCCCCCCATAGCTCCATGAAATTTTATGTCATAGCATTTTTCATTGTACTTTTTGTGATTTTTTTTTTCTGTTTGTTGGGAGTTTTTTTATTTTTTTGATTACCAAATCAATTTTATTCTTAGTAATTGATCTGTTCAAATTTTCTTTTCCTCCTGATTCAGTCATTCAGTCATCAGGAAGATTGCCTGTTTCTAGGAATTTATCCATTTCTTCTAGGCTGTCCAATTGGTTGCCATGTATTTTTTTTTTTTTGAGAGGGCATCTTTCATATTTATTGATCATATGGTTGTTAACAATAATAAAATTCTGTATAGGGGACTCAATGCACAATCATTAATCAACTCCAAGCCTAATTCTCAACAGTCTCCAATCTTCTGTAGCATAATGAACAAGTTCTTACATGGTGAACAAGTTCTTACATAGTGAATAAGTTCTTACATGGTGAACAGTGCAAGGGCAGTCATATCACAGAAACTTTCAGTTTTGATCACGCATCATGAACTATAAACAATCAAGTCAGATATGCTTATTCGTTTGATTTTTAGACTTGATTTATATGTGAATCCTACATTTTTCCATTATTATTATTATTATTTTTAATAAAATGCTGAAGTGGTAGGTAGATGCAAGTTAAAGGTAGAAAACATAATTTAGTGCTGTAAGAGGGCAAATGTAGATGATCAGGTGTGTGCCTGTAGACTAAGTATTAATCCAAGCTAGACAAGGGCAACAAAGCATCCACGGATATAGAAGATTTCTCTCAAAACAGGTGGGGTGAGGTTCTAAGCCCCACCTCTGTTGATCCCCAATTTCTCACCTGATGGCCCCCCTGCGACTGTGCCTGTCTTAGGTTGTTACTCCCTTGAGGAATCTTACCCGTCTCTGGCTAACCAGTCATCTTCCGGGGCCATACAGGGAAATGTAAAGTTGGTAAGTGAGAGAGAAGCAATATTGTTTGAAAAGGTTAGCTTTTTACTTTTTTGCAGATTTATGCCCTGTGGCTTCTATGTCCACCATTTGTCTTGAGGTATCTTTACCACTTGGAAGAATTATGATACCTTTTTGTGATTTTTTAAAAAATCAGTAACTATATAGTAAGCACTGTAAGAGTAGGGACCCTATGCATTTCTGGTCTTCATTTTGTTCCCTAGCACCTCACATACTGCTTGGCGTCTAGTAGGCATTCAGTAAATATTTGTTGAATGCATTAATTCTCTTCCTGCTCATAGCTGAGGTGAAACGTGTTGGAGATACACTCTTGGGAATGGCTACGCAGTGTGTGCAAGTGAAGAATGTGGTCAAGACCTCGCCTCAGACGCTGTCCAACCTCTGCCTGAAGATCAATGTCAAACTTGGTGGCATTAACAACATCCTAGTCCCACACCAGCGGTATGAATGCTATTGCCCACTTGCTCTTGTCAAGCAAGGTACCAGGTTGGGGATTGATGAAAAGATAGGTAGGACCCTGGCCAGGCAAAGTGAATCAGACACAAGGGAGAGAGGACCAAAGTGGGTGCTAATGTTAAGTGCCAGGAAGAGAAGACCCAACTTCTCACTGTTTGTTTTCTTTCTTGCTCAGCTCTGCCGTCTTTCAGCAGCCAGTGATATTCCTGGGAGCAGATGTTACACACCCCCCAGCAGGGGATGGGAAAAAACCTTCTATCACAGCAGTGAGTGATACTCTCCAACTTCCTCCTAAGGGTCTCCTCTTAGCTCTGAGCTCTCAAGACTACACATGGTTTCTTTCCCTCAGCCCTAGCACTTGACCCATCATAAGATCTTCTCCTTTCAGTTGATCATCCCCATTAGCCATTCCCTTGATATCTTCATAAAACTACCTCTGTATGGTGTCTTTTTTTCAGAGAGCAGTGAGAATGTAGGCTGTGCCCAGAGTCTTGGCCTGGTCTCCATCACTCTAGCTTTATGTTTGAGTTTCTCTCTTTCTCTCCATTCCCACTTTTGGGATATGGGAGTGATGATATTTCTCTGCTGAGACCCCTTTTAAGGCAATTACTTAAGGAACTTTAAGGAAGTTGCTGGGACTGTCCTTTTCTACCCCTGATCCATCTTGTAGATGAGATGTCTCTCCAATCCCTCTCCTGCCTTCTCTGCTCCCTGTTCCCTGGGGGCTTCAGAGTTGCCAGAGAGATCAGGCCTTTCTTCCCACCTTTCTGCCTCAACCCTCACATTTCTGTAGGTAGATTGGGCTTTTCTCAGCAAATGCAGGGAAACCCTATACTATGCTTATTCCTATTTTCCTTGTGGCCATCCATGCTAGGCTCTGGCCAGTATCTCCTTTGAAAATGTTGTTATTCTCACCACCTGCAAGAATATTCTTCACTATGGCCTCTGGGTAGATTAGCACTTGAATTGAAAAAAGGACAAACTGGTGGCTGGATGAGATAACTCTTTGAGCTAGTAGTGTCAAACCTTCACATGTCCCTCTGTAAGCTGTAGGAAAGTCAAACTTACCAAGTACCTACTGTAGACTCAGTCCTGTGCAAGGTGCATTCTATGTATCACAATAGCACTGTAGTCAGGTGGTGTTACCTCCGTTCAAGAGAAGGAAAAAGATTAGATGGATTCACTAATATATGCTTTATAGAACAGAGATTGAACCATGGCTCACTGAATCCAAAACCTATTCATTCAATTGCATAGTTCTCTTGCTAAGAAGCCTTTCCCAAAACCCACAACCTGACAGTGTTAGGAAGGTGGAGGTTCTGGTGGCTGATCCTGCCACTTTGATTATCAGGTGGTCGGCAGTATGGATGCCCACCCGAGCCGTTACTGTGCTACTGTGCGCGTACAGCGACCACGGCAGGAGATCATTGAAGACTTATCCTACATGGTGCGTGAGCTGCTAATCCAGTTCTACAAGTCCACCCGCTTCAAGCCTACCCGCATCATCTTCTACCGAGATGGGGTTCCTGAAGGCCAACTCCCCCAGGTAGGGCCTACAGTAGGTGGAGAGGACCTTCACATTGAGGCTGGAGGGCCTAACAGTACCAGAGAGTACTGCTACATTTTCAAAGCTGTTGGCACTTCTTAGGGAACTTTGCTAAATAGAATAGACTTCAGAGCAGAGATTGCAATTGAGAAGTGGTGTGTAAAAGCATCTATAGACCTTTGTTCTTGTAACAGAAGCTCCTCCATGCCTTTTTACTAGTTGGTTCATGTTGAGGACTGATTCTCTACACCGGTGGTTCTCAAAACTTTACCATGCATCAAGATCACCTGGAGGGCTTGTTAAAAGTTTGTAGGGCTCTACTCTAAGTATTTCTGATTCCTTGAGTCCAGGATGGGGTCCTACAATCTGTAGTTCTGACAAGTTCCTAGGTGATGCTGCTGGTCTGGAGGCTTGGAAATGTTAAATGATTTCTTCAATGTCAGCCAGGCTAATAAGTAGTAGAACTGAAATTCAGACAGATTGGTCTGATTCTGAAGCCTGTTGTGCTCAATTTCCTCTAAGTTATCCATGTTTCCTGAAATACCAGATAAATTTATTGAATCACTGATCTGTTCAGAAATATCTGGTGGCTTCACATAGCCTTTGGTTAAAATTCAGACTGCTTGCAAAGCTGTCAGCAGTTATTTTGCTCCTACGAGGTTTTCTATGCTTTTTACTGACTTACCTGTTTTAGTCTTTACAACTCTGTTACAACCCAAGTAGATGTGGAGAAGATGAGACTTAGAGGGGCTAAGTGACCTGTTCACAGTAATACAACTAGATAAAGTTTGGTTTAAACCTAGTTCAAATTGATTCCAAAATCTGTCCACTTCTACTATATAGTTTGACTCCCTATATCTGACATGCAAGGCCACAGGAAACTATTATAAACTATGGTTATTTAATTGTGGCTTCTTCATTAGCTAGTCCATTTTCTTATAATCCTGGGTGTAAGACTGAACACATCTACACCCTCTGCACCCATGTTCCTGAACTGTCTGCTCTTGGAGCTCACAGGGGAACTCCTACTATCCTCCTGATCCTGAAATCAGCCTTACTTTTGGCATTATGATTTTAGTGATTTCTCTGTGAACCTTGGTTCTGTGTCTTGAACTTAGGTCTCTTCATGCATAGGAGCCAACTGAGTGCTTTCTTCTAATGCCAAGCCTGCCAGTGAAGGTCTTTTTATAGGAACATGTCAGGTGAACTACGTATAAGGCTGATTTTGGCAGGAAGGGCCTATCATCTCTAATGGTTGGTTGTCAGCTTATAAAGAGAGGCTGAGCAAGCCATATTACAAGTGGCAAATCTTTAATTTAGAAATATGTGTGAACTCAGAGGAGTTGTATGTCTTTGTCTCCATCCTCATCCTGTACCTAGATCCTTCACTACGAGCTGCTGGCCATTCGTGATGCCTGTATCAAACTGGAAAAGGACTACCAGCCTGGGATCACTTATATTGTGGTGCAGAAACGCCATCACACCCGCCTTTTTTGTGCTGACAAGAATGAGCGAGTGAGTGAGGGATTGAGGAAGTCACCCATAATCCTGTTTGCCTTCTTTTAACATGGAGGAAGCCCTTGAGATAAAATCCAGGGATTTAGTCCTTGGCCTATCCATTCTTCCTGGCCCCTTTCTGCCCCCTTCCTCTACCACCTCCTTCTCTTTGTTCCCCTTTTTTCCCCTCCTTCCCTTATGCTTCCTCTTGGTCCTCCTAGCTCCCTTGCCTATAGACCCCATATATAGACCAGCTCCCAGAGAAAGAAAAGGGAACTATCATTTATTCAACTTCTGTGTGCCAGACATTGTACAAGGCGTCTTCCTCACAGCAGCCCTGTGAGGTAGGTCCTCCTCTTATTTCCAGGTTAACCTCAGAAAGGTTAAATGCCTTGCAAAGATCACATAACCAATAAATGGTGAAATGAACAGTTAAACACAGGTCTGTGTGACTTCAAAAGCCCATTATTTCAAGACCCAGTGCCCTCTAGGAGCAACAACTTTTGCTTTACTCTTGGAATTCTGGTAGAATCAGGACAGAATTGAGTTGGGGCCCTAGTTAGGGCCAGGCAGGTCTTGGGATCTTGGTTGTCTTTGTCTCTATACAGATTGGGAAGAGTGGTAACATCCCAGCGGGGACCACTGTGGATACCAACATCACCCACCCATTTGAGTTTGACTTCTATCTGTGCAGCCACGCAGGCATCCAGGTAGCTGGGCTATGTCCTGGGGTTCCCACTGGGTCGGAGATCAGTTGATTATTCCCACTGCTTCTAGAATATATCAGTCCTCCCCAAGTGGCATTCAAATCAGGAGCATTCTCTTAATAAGCCCTCAGTGCCCTTGAACAGAAGTGCACTTTGAATAACTTAGGCAGGTTGCCCATAAGAAGGGTGTTTTATGACATAGGTGGCTTTGTGTCTGCCTGTTCTTGGATATGCTTCTAGCCCAGCCATACTTTTAACAGTGATCCTGTTCCTTATCCTCAGCCATCCCCTCTGCCCAACCTGGGGCCCCTCACCTTCCTATCTTCCCAGGGCACCAGCCGACCATCCCATTACTATGTCCTTTGGGATGACAACCGTTTCACAGCGGATGAACTCCAGATCTTGACGTACCAGCTGTGCCACACTTATGTACGATGCACACGCTCTGTCTCTATCCCAGCACCTGCCTACTATGCCCGCCTGGTGGCTTTCCGGGCACGATACCACCTAGTGGACAAGGAGCATGACAGGTGAGCTGCGGGATCAGGCTGGCTTCCTTTTTGCTTCAGCCTCTGGTACCAGACCCTCTCAACCTTCCTTGGGTGGAAGGAAATGGGTATTGTCCAATTTGGTGACCTTGGGCTCATCTGCCCAAATCTGGGTTGGGATTTTCTCTTAAATTGCTATGGTAATTGGCACTCTAGGGACGGGGGAAGGGGTTAGCAGCAGCTCAGTTCACCTGGAAGGATTTCTTTCATTTTTCCTTTTCAGTGGAGAGGGCAGCCACATATCGGGGCAGAGCAATGGGCGGGACCCCCAGGCCCTGGCCAAAGCTGTGCAGGTTCACCAGGATACTCTGCGCACCATGTACTTCGCTTGAAGGCAGAACGCTGTTACCTCACTGGATAGAAGAAAGCTTTCCAAGCCCCAAGAGCTGTGCCACCCAAATCCAGAGGACGAGGGAGGAGGAAGGGGGGTAGGGAAGAATACAGAAGGCCTTGTTTCCTTCTACAAAGGGGGCAAAAGGTTGGGGAACAGGGCCAGTAAGCCAGACCACCAGCCAGAAATCTCTGATATCCACCTCATGCCCCTGACCCCTCACCCATCTTGTCACATCTGGCCCTGACCCCACTGGACCAAGAAGGGCAGCATCAGTGCCCACCATACACACAGGTGTCTCATGTGACTCACAATGCTAAAGACTCATGCCTGACAGCTTGGTAAAGTCAGCTCTGCAGCCCTATGGACAAAAGCTGGTAGATTTGGGCTTGATATTTTAGATGGGAAAGTGAGAGGCTTGAGAAAGTGGGTGGGAGGAGGGAAGGATTCTTTAGGAGCCTTAATCAGAAAAGGTCTAGATTTGTTTAAGAAAAAAAAGTGAAACCTGATCCAGATCAATATTTTAGAATACTAGATGTTTTAATGGGTTGGGAATCCAGTTTGTAGGAAGATTTTTAATGCTAATGGTTTCATTTGCTCCTCCCCAGCTGCCACCACCCCTTTCCTATATTCCTCTTTCTCCACCTTTTCTACCCCACCTTACACCTCCTCCCTGACAGACATCCAGCCCCTAGTAAGACTTAAGGCACTATGGCACTTAGCTCTGAAATGACACGACCCTGTCTTCCTTCCGCCTGCTGGTGGGTAACCAGTGCCTTCCCTGTAACGGTAATGCTGCAGAACTGCAACCTTTTGTACCTTTCTTTGGGGGATGGGGTGGGGGTGGGAAAGGAGGTAGGTAGGGAAGAAATACCCCTAACTCAACAAGCCTCCAGCCAGAGCGCCAGCAATTTTGCATTTGAAGGAATTGACTTCCATATTCATTGAGCTTTTAAAAAGATCACAACCTCAAAATGGTTAAAATCCATTGACATTTGCACTTTCAGACATGACAAGTCTCGGAGCTGCTGAGATGACTGGCCCCTGGCCTTTCCACTTATGTCTCCTCTTCTCCCTGTCTCCCGTATCTTCCCACCTGCCTGGATCTGGAGGAGTTACTTCCCTAGCATTTCTTGCTCTTGGCTTTTCTCCTGATGGTCAAGTCTCTTATGTTTCAATATTTCTTAACTGGGGTGTCTTATAACAAATGATCCTTAGGTCTAAAATAAGAAAAAAGAGCAAAAACTAAATGTTATTTTTATACCATAACTCGAGTCTATTGCCAAAATCTGGAAATCCCTCCCATGCCCAGTGAGTTTACATCCCAGAAACATGGAGCCATCAGAAGGAACTATGTACCTGACTTGTTCTTTGGCCTGGCCAGGCAGGTGGGTCTAGCCCCAGGGTGGGGCTCAGACACTATCCTTCCTCGTGCAGATAATACCTTTTTCTTGCTACAGGTTCCCTCTGCACTGCCTTGCACTCTTTCTTGCAAATGCATCTTCCCTTTTTCTAGACTGTCCTCCTGACACTTTGGCTCATTCCCAATTCCAGTGTGTCCTGTGGACAGACTGGGGATTTTGCTGCTCCCTATTGCTTCTGTTTACACAAATGAATTTTCCTGATTTCCCCACTAGGGCATGTAAGTGGGTGGCATGATTCTTTTTTTTTTTTTTTGTCGTATCCTTGGATAAAGATGGGTTTGGCTGTCTTACAGACCTGGAAAAGTAGGGGGTTCTAGCTTGGTGCCTGCTGGCCTTGAAGCGAGGCCCCCCTTTTTCCTGAGCTGTTCATTTTTTCCTGTCCCACTCCTGAGGTGCAGTTAGAGCTTCAGTGTGGAAGTTTCTCTTTCTGAGGAACCTGGGCTTTGGTTTGCCCCAATCTGGTGATAAAGCCATGATAGTTTAGACCTAGCTCAGGCTTGGAGGCCAGCCAGAGGAAGGCCAGTCTGAATCTGGGCCTTTGTATTTAGAGCTACCATTTCCCCTCTCCAGCAGCCCTTGTACAAACCCAGATTTGCTATGCAAAACAGTCTATCCCAGGTTCTGTTTGGGTTGGTTCTTGGTTCAGTGACTTCACAAAACATAGCACAAACATTGATTATGAAGAAGGCATCAGGACTGTTGAGTAACTCCTCCTTTACTTCCTTCCTACTGGCTATAGCGTGTGGTGCCCCATGGGCACAGCCCAGCTGCAGAACAAAATGGAGGGTTCTCGGAGGAGGCAACTCACTGGAGAGCCTACATTCCTTACACAAGTGCCTAAAGAGAGTGATGCCAACACTCCATCTGCCCTGTTCATCGCCTTCATATACTGTCTACTTCGTGTTCAGTCACCCTTTGGGGAGGGGAGCTCTCTTGGGACAGTGGGCTCTGCATGTTCTCTTCTTGGGTGCATTTTGGGGCTAGGATCAGGGCACTATTCCTGGAGGGTCCAGTTATTCACCAGCATTTGCAAATGTCCACAGGGAGCTGGTGGTAGCCACCTACTCTCAACACGTTTGTGTTCTCTCTTTCTCTCTTTGCCTCACTCTCTCACATGGGTTTTGAGCTGGGGCTTGAAATGCATTTTTTAGCTCTTTGGCATTGCACATGCCACTCAAGAAATAAATGCAAAAGCAGCAGCTTGGACATTGGCAAGAAAACGACTTCTTGCTTTTAATTTTATTTTTTTTAATCTTTGAGACTGAAAAATACCTTTGACCTTGAGGATTATTCTTGTTTGAAAGGTAGTGCATGTAGATTGAGAAGTGCTGTTGGCGACAAGCTTTGGTTTTCTGGGCTTTGGTTTAAGTGGTGCTTCTTAAGCTCTGAGGAAGTGCTGGGGTGACCCCAGCCTCATCCTCTTAGATAGGTCTTTTACCCCCTTTGTTCTACTCTTTGCCTTCCTTTTCCTCTTCTTTCTGTTCCTGGCTTCCTGTTCCTTCTATTCACTCAGCTTATCTACTGGCCTGCCTATGTAATGATGAATTCTCTGCATGGCTACAATGCTCTCACTGTTATCTTGGCAAGGTCAGGCTTAGCTCTTTGGCTTTGGAAGACCAAGAATCTATTCCCCAAGTCCAGTGATGTCCTTTCTGGGCTGGACTGCCATCAAGCTCACACAAGGGTAGAGCAGCAGGCCTGCCCAACTAGCATGAAATCAGGAGGGCTTCTGGCAACTTCCACGCCTGTCTACTCCTTGGGGTCAGTATCTCTCGACTTTTCTTGATCTGGTTCCATTTCTCTCTACCTGGGGCCTCCCTTTTCTAAGGATATCCTAGGGTTGAGCTATTGGGTATCCAGGGTTGAAGGGTTAAGGGATGGACATGGGGGAGGAAAAGAGTGATGGGAAGAGAATGGAGAGGATTTGGATAAAAGGTAGGAAAGGAGAGCACTGCTCACTGGTAATTTTTCCAATCCAGCCTGTCCCACTGGGGGTTGAGGTGCTACTTCTGGCCTCTGGGGATAAACCTGGGCTGTTTTTGCTGGGAACCTAAGCTTAGACTAATGCTGAAAGGGGTATCTAAAAGTGTGAAACCTGCCTATAAAGCTCCTGGTTCCCACCTACAGATAGCTCCTCTGTGGCCGCCTCTTTGGCTCAACAAGTTCCTGGATAAGTTTTTCTTTTTTCGTGCCCAGAATTCTGTAAATGAGTCTGGCACTCAAGATGGGCAGCCAAGGGGACACTTTGATTTCTTAGCTGGACCATGGTATACAGTGGGACAGTGTTTTAGACCTGGTATCATATGTAACAAACAAGGATGGAAGTTCCTTCCCCTTCAGGATAGAAAGTCATCTTAAACGAGCCAAAATGCAGTTTTGGAAACTACATCAGGGGAAGTTATTTTTATTTATATTTACATTTACTGGGCCTAGGCCAACCCAGGATGGTAGCTGGGATGCCTTCCTTCTTAAAGTTTGATCATGGCAGGGATATGCAGGGCACTCTTTCCTTTTTGGCCTTCTGAGCATAATGGGAAGAAGGGATTCTCTGGTTTTCTTCCCCCATTCCCCACCCTCCATTAATTAGGACTTGCCTTCTCCCTGGGCAGGGAGAGAGGCTAGGTTGGTGCTCTCCCCTTACTCTATTCCTACTGACTCAGAACCTCTGGCTGCTGTTTGGGAGCCCAAGAAAGGGAGTGGAGGGAATGGGCTCAAAACAAAACAGAATAAGGTGAGGAAGGCAGATTTCCTTCTTTAAAAAGGAAAATAGGAAACCCTCCAAGAATTGTGCAAGACAATGTGTCAAATGCACTGAGTCCCCTGGTGTAGTAGCAATAAGGAAAAATGAAATGACTTTCCTGTGCACACAGTCCAACCTGACTGGTGTGTGATGTTGCACTTAGCAGCCATCCGGTGGGCATGTGTGACTACTCTGGGTTTCACTTTAGTTTCTAAACTTTTTGTTCCTCTCAAGTCCAGCATGGATGGGGAAATGTCCCTAGAGCCCCACAGCTGTGTACTTGTTTGCATTTTGTTTCCCTCTGAGACTTGTGTTTGTGTCATGCTTTGAGCTGTACCTTGTCCAGTCCATTGTAAAATTATCCCAGCAGCTGTAATGTACAGTTCCTTCTAAAGCAAGCAAGAGCAGCAGCACAATTCTGTGTTTTATAAAGATGACAGTGGCTTCTATTTCTAAAGTGCGGTCTCTCTCTCTTTTTTTTTCCTATTAGCAAAACAAACTATTGGAATTAATCATATCTCTGGTAGATTTTAGTTTAGAGTAACAGATTATTACAAGAGCAGAACCATCACTTCTAAAGGAAGAAAGTAGATAAAACAAATTCCAGAGTGTTGAAACTGCATATTCTATGGAATCATACAGGGTCTCCACTTATTCTTTCAACAAATACACAAAGCACCATGTCTAGCAGTACTGTGGGGGAGAAGGCAAGCACAATTCAAAATTGAGAAAAACTGTTTTTTTCCTTAAGGACCTTAAAGTTTGATGGGGGATATGAATAACCAAATGGTTCTGGTATAGGAGTGAGATGGGGGCCTGGATTGAGGCTGTAAAGCTATAGCAATGAGGATAGAGAAGAAAGGCAAATTTGAGACACACTCAGGAAATAGAATTAATAGGACTCAATGGATGATGGAGGAAGAAGAGAGTAGAGGCTAATGCCTGGGTTTCTGCTTAGAAGCAGTGAGTAAATTGGGACTCTGATCAAGATTGGAGGAGAAGGAAGACTCAGAAGGAAGGTGGTGAATTTATTGTAAAGAAAGACAATTAGCCTTTTATAGACTGGGTTTTGAGGTTTCCATGGGGCAACGAGGTTAAGGGTGTCAATAAACACTTATGTTTTGGTGCTCAGGAAAGACTATAAAACTGTAGTTATAGATGTGAGATTCATACTCATAGGTGGTAGTTAAAAGCCACAGGAATGAACAAGATGGCTTAAAGAAAGAGTAAAGCAAGAGAAACATAGCACACAACTCTAGGAAAACACTTAAACTGTGGGATGAGGAGAGGAAGCCTACCTAAGATGACTCAAATCACTAGTAGATACCATATATTTGACTGATTTAATGAGATGGGAGAAAAATCAAGAGAGTGGAATAGGATCCAAGAAGGGCATGATTAACAACATAAGCTGCTGCATTGAGGAGGGGATGTTATTTTCCAGTCACTTTATCATTCTCCATCCCATCTTCTCTGGGATCTTATAATTTTATGGTCATTCTCCAGTATTTCTTGAAAATGAGCACTGGAAAAACCAACTTTAAGTAAGTCTAAGACTAGGACTTTCAAGGTGTTCACCACAACCACCACTGCCATCTCCACCTCCAGCTTCCTGTCCTCAGGAGATACTTGTAAAAGAATAAAATAAACAAACCTAATTTTGTTCCTCACTAGTGTCATAGATGGTGTTCCAGTGTACTCGATAGTACTTAGCAGCTTGCTCTGTTTATTTTCATGACTTGTTTTCCCCAGAGCCTGTGAATTCTTAAGAGCAGAAACTACATCCTATTCATTTTTGTCATCTCAAGGTCATAGCATATACCAAGGGATCAGTATTTGTGAATAGGACTGAAATGAACTAGAGATCAGTGGTTCATGAATACAGAGGGGGTAATCAAGAAGTGATATTAAGTGTACAGGATGGACTCAGCATTCCTGAATCTTCAGGTAAGAGAACCTTAATCAGATTACCATGTTTTTCTCACTCTCACCCTAACTTGGAGGTTCTGTGGTTTTGTACCTTAAGCTGATGTTACAATTGTCAAGCATGTGTAAGTTCTGGCGTACTGCTAGATCATTGTTATTTCTGTGTGCTGGCATAAGTTGGCTCAGAGGAGGATTCTGGCCTAGGGCCCAGTGAGAAATTTTCAGTGGCAGCTAGTGTGTACATAAGTGGGCCTAGCATTCCTCTGGAGGTCAAGTTTTGTGACTTTTCAAATTACAGAGCTAACCTGTGGCTACTATCTGCCAAATTCCCTTGGAAGCAAGCCAGCCAGACCCATGTTCCTTTGCAGCAGCAAAGGTTAGTGAGGTTTGTTGAACTTGGAGAACAAATTGAAACATGGAGACTTTTCCTAGTTGAAATAAGACAAATTTACAGTTCAATGGAGCAGAAATAAAGTATTTAGCAAAGGAATTGGGAGGATAATTATGGGACATTTTTGCCATAAATTGCAGTTTTAGAAATGAGTGATATTTAGCAGGTTTCTGGATGTGGTTGCTCAAGAGAAAAAGAGCCCAAGGCCTGATCTGTCTGGTCCTCAAGATCAAGGTTCTGAGTGAAGGCTAATCCTAATACTCCTGGATATTCCATTTCAGTATTGGTTGAGCAGCCTTCCCTCTGCCCAGTCAATTGGCAGCATATAATGTAGCACATTCTTGTCCAGGAAGTGCTGTGGGGCAGTGAGGGTTGGTGTTTGTTGGGTACCTCTTGGCCTAGCAGACCACAATCTCATGGCAGTTAGGATTTGAAAGCTAAAGGATAGGGTTATAGTACAAAAAGAAGACTGTTTTCAAGTTCTGAGCCTGGGCCATCCTCAGACCACTCTCTGTAGTACTTGAATAGAAAGTAGCTTTCAATTGTAGCGAACAGCTCTCCCTATTTGTTTCTAGCTTTTAAGACATTTATTCCTTTGGCTATAGGCTGAGGAAACCTATTAAACTTAACAAGGTGCACAGAGCATGACAGAAGCATTCCTTTAAAGTGGTTATGTCAAGGATGAGCTGAAAAAGTGGACTTGCCAAGGATGAGGTGCATTTAGAAGTTCTCCACTGAAGTGCCACAACTCCTTACCAGAATACCATTTTCTGGTTTAGGCCACTGGCTTACCCTGTAGGATCACACTGGCCTCTTGGTCTGGACTGCGAAATCTTCACCACTGTCCGTTGGCAGTGTCTTTTTGGGACAAAGAAATACTGAGGGATGTTTCCCAAGAGCTCTCTGTCCCTCTTCCCCACCTTCAGAAGGCAAAGAAGTCCCTCTTAAGAGGCTGTGGGAGCTTCCAGCCAGTGTTTGGAAAAGGCCTATGGGTTGTTAATAATGGAAGTAAACTGGAAAAGGAGAGGCTTTGGTACTTTGAAGTACTTGGCTAGGTGTTCAGTACAGTCTCTATTTAATCTTAGTTGTATCTTCGCAGCCTTTATGTGAAGTAGTTTACATAATGCATATAACAAAGTCCAATTAAACAGGCTTAAATAAGGAAACTATCACATGACAAGAGGTCCTGATTTAATATGGCTCCAGCGTTGGTTAATTCAGTGGCTCAATGATCACACCAATCAATCAGGTTCTTGCAGTCTTTTTGCTCTGCTATCTTCTGTGTTGGTTTATCCTCATGGTAGTTCACCTCAGGGTCCTAAAATGGCTTATCCTAACCCTAATTGCAGGAAGGAAATGCTGACAACAATATCTAGCAGAAGAGGGACTAATTTTTCCCATGTTTCATTTTAAAGTAAAGAAAGTCCCTGGAAGCCCCAGCAGATCTGGCCTCATGTCTCATCTCATTTGCTAGAAATGGCAAAGCAAATGAGCTCATCCATCCTGAGTGCTTAGCTTATTTAGTAGTTACCTCTAGTCATGTGGATTAGAAAGACAAGTCATGTCTGCTAGGCAAGGGGATAAAGGTTCTTAGGTAGGCATAGGGCAGTGTCTGCACTATGTAGGTACTCTGGTTTTACAGATGAGGAATATGAAGCTTAGAGTTACTTTTCCTAGAATCACAGAGAGCAGAGGGCCTTCAGTCTCAGCTCTGCCTTTCAGGACAGTGTGTTTTACATTGTGTCCCATACAAAGTAGCTTGCTTTCTGTGTAAAAACTACTGGTCTAGAAGAGATTTGAACTCAAGTGTCAAGTAAACTAACTTCAGCCCGTATGAGAGAGGATTCTGTCCAGTTGTGCTCCTCAACCAATGATATTTATCTAGCCTAGGAATGCAACTTTCAGAAGGCACTGATTTCCTTGTTCCTGAGATTTCTGTACTATTTCATAGTTCATCTGAGGGCGACCAGTGCCACATGGAATGAGGAGAGAGTCTTAGCCTGCTTCCTGAGCCCCTTTTTTAAAAGTCCAGTCACTTATTCAACCATCCATCCATCCCACAAATACTTATGGAATGCTGCTGTTTGCCAGACACTCGCACTGTTCTAGGCACTGGGGCTCGACAGTTAACAAGACACACAAAGACCCTGCTCTATGCTTAAGAGCAGCTCATTTGGGTATGAGGTTATCCAAAAAATAGGGTGTGCATGTGGTTAGGGGAGAGCCTCATAGAACTTTGCTTTGGGAAGAATCATTCAGACTTTTGGCTTCCCAGGTCATGAACTTTTCACAGGGGCTCACTCTACCGAGGTGTGGTCCCTGGAGAGCAGAAGTAGTTGGGAAGGAAGGCATCACTGAAGAAGGTCCAAATACTGCTTCATTAATGTCAGCAAAGAAGAAAGTGGCCTATTCCTGGGTTCATCACCATCGCCATGTCTATTCTGGTGTATGCTGAAGAAGCCTGCAATCATTTAGGGCAACAGTTCCAGAACAGGGGGCCAGGTAAATGCTTTACAATGGTAATTATAGTAAATGCTTTTTTCCCCTAATATTTAGGGGGAGTTTTTCTGTGATTTATGTTCATTCCCTAACCTCACAGTAACTGTGTAAAGGTACATGTTACTGTTTTTCCTAGGAAGAAACTGAAGCCCAGAGGCTCAAGTGACTGATTCAAAGACCCACCATTATTGGGGAAACTGAAGATAGGATTTTTTTCTCCTTTTCCTCTTTGTCCCAGGCTTTTTTTTTTTTTTTAATGCATTTGACTTTTGAAAGTCTAAACACTAGTGATGCTTTGGAACATAGGGGAAAATTATGAAATATTCCTCAGCCTAAATAATATCACCTTTCATTTAGCCAACAATTAAGGACCTACTATTTGCCAGTTAATGTGCTGGCCCTGGTAACTTTATAAAGCTTATATTCTAGTTGGGGAGGGAGGCATACAACTAGTAAACAAAACAAATTAGACTGGAAGAATTATTATTAAGGAAATACTGTGCAGAAAAATAGGGGTGACCCACCATTTACGGTGGTGGGGAAAGGCTTCTGAGAGGGTGGGGAGAAAAGAGAGGGTACCTGGACAGGGGAACCAAAAGCTCGGCGAGGTAAACGCTTTGCGCGTTGGGAGATTTAGAAGCAAACTAATAAAGCTTTAGCATAATGATGATGACGAGGTCTGCTAGACGGGCAGGGGCCCTGCTAATCTGGCTCCGAAAGGAGTTGGGGTCTTCTCAGTGTACCAACACGCTATTAAAGAGTTGTAAACATGGACATTATTCTATCCGATGTTTGTGTAATGTGCTGTTTCTTAACCATCTTTTCCCAAACTAAACTGTACATACCCCCCTCACCCCCACCCCCGCAAAATGGTCGTCAAAGCAATCCTACCGACTTGGAGAGATCAATTGTAGTGGTCACTTGACCGCCAGCAGAGGAGGCGGGGCGAGGTGCCGCCCAAATTGGGCGTGGCGGGAAGGACTCGGGAAGGAGGGGAGCCCTGCCCCAGACGGGCTCGGCCCGGGGACCTCAGCAGCAGGTCTGGGCGCAGCACCTAAGACCAGCCACGCTCAGACCAGAAGCGTGGCTGGTCTCCCCAGGTAAACTACGCGGCCCTTCACGATGTCGCCTCTGGCACGCTCCGCCCAAGACTGGGGTGGTGCGACGAGTTCAGCCCCTCCCGGGTGTCTCCGGCCAGCAGTGCCCCGCGGAGGACCGCAGGAGAGGCCCCGGTGATCCGCTCTCCGGCCGCAGTCGCGCGTGCCTCAGGCTCCGCCCAGGCGCGGCGCCCGCTCCCCGTCCACTCCCTCCGCATGCTTGCCGACCGCGCGCGTAACGACGTCGCGCCCGCACCGCTTTGGGCGGAGAGGCAAGGCTCGGACGCCGGGCAGCGGAACTGACGCCAGCGGGCTTCCGGGGGCGGCCCCCGGGGAGGTCGGCGGCTGCGCCGCAGTCGTGGAGGAGCAGTGGGAGCGTAAGCGGCCGCGGGCGACGCAAGTTCCGTACGGGGCTGCCTTCTCCTCGCTTCACGCTTCCTCCTCTCGCCTAGTCGCGTGCTGCTTCCAGACGGCGGCTCTTCTTGACGAGAGCTGTCAGAGCCCAGTTGCTGAGGAGAAGCGGTCGCCATCCCGCCTCGCGGCCGAGTGAGGGTGCCTGTCGCGCTGCGCCTTCTCCGTGCCCCCAGTGGTGGGCGCCCTTCTCACTCGAAGCACTCTCCCCAGCTCCATGAATGGAAATCGGCTCCGCAGGTGAGTGAGTCAGAGCTGCTGGCCGGGTGGGTGGGGGCGTCCCCAGGGAATCGTCGCTCCCTCCGCCCCCGCCCAGGTGCGCGAGTTGAGGGCTGGGCGGGCGGCTCCCCTTCTCCGCCCTCCGCCGGCGCCTCCTCCGCCTCCCGCCGCACTTCCCCGGGGATACCGAGGAGGCGAAACTCTGGGGAGGGGGCACTGGGCGATACTACTCTCTTTTCTGGAGTCTAGTAGGGTTTGCCGTATCTTTTGTTATTTCGATTGAAGATGTGACGGTGTGCGTGTCCTTTAACCGGGTTGTGTGTCCCGTAGAGGCACAGGGCTGCCAGCCCCTCTCTCACGTACCTCTTAAGGTAGTTGTGAAGAGACAGTGAGATAACGGATGGGAATTAAGTTTGAAATAGGCAGCACCGTCAAATGCAAGATGGCATTTCTTCCACCCCTGAGTTCTCATCGGATGTTTGTGGCAGCATGCTATATAGTTCCTGAGGATATTGGAAATGTCATTATCAGCCTGGATCACTGCTTGTGTGAGGAGCTGGATCTTAAAATTGCTGACAATGTATATATTTTTTTCATTCTCTGTTCCCTAGAGAAGCGGTTGTTGTATTTCTGGAAATTTGGAATTTAAGAAAACTGCTTTCTTTCCCTGGGAAAACTGACAGTGTTGAGAAAAATTGCAATATAGGCAGTACCTATCTTTAAAAAACAAAACAAAACACTCCTTATGGTTTTAAGGTATATTAATTGAGAGACATAAAGTAGGTGTTACATAACGGTTTGCTTTCCAGATGATCATGCTTGGTATGTTAAATTTGAAAGCATGTTTCATCCAGACAGTCACAAATTTATAATTAACTTTAAAATATTTGGGGAGGGGCAGGGGAGCGTCTTGTTAGTGATAGTATCACAAATCCCTGAATCTCACATTTCATTTTGCCAGTTTGGGAGGTACTTGAATATGACATAAGAAAAACTTACATGAAAGAAATCAGGGACAAAGTAATAATAATTTATTGATTGAGTTGAGTATAATTGTCAGGCAGATGCAAAAAGCAGTAAAAAATTGTAGAAGTTAGATGATGAGAAGGGTTTTTTTTTTACCAGTTTTATTATATGGACTTCAGTCAATTTCTACCATTTCTCTTTTGCATGCTCCATTTTTTTGTCTTCATATCTTGCAAAGGGAAGTTTGACTAGACTGTGAAGAGCTTTAGACTTTAATTTGTTTGTCATTGATTTGTGTACTTCTGAATCCATGTCCTGCCTTTGCTTTTTAATTTCCTATGCTATTTAGGGAATGTGATGATTTGGGGGCTATAAGTGAATTTTACCTAACTGTCCTGCTCTCAAGCCTGGAAAACAAAACATGAAAGTTAAACACTTTATTAGTCTCCTGAAACTTTTTAAAATATTTCAAAAAGTTTTTGAAACTTTTGTTTTTCTCCTTTGGGTTTTTCATATGAAATTATGTCCAGATATATGTACACCTTAGAAAATATTTCTGAAGTCCAGCCACCTAGCCAGGTGGTCCAGCTGGCCATGATTCAGAAGATGCTCCTGTGAATTCTTGAGCTATGGATAAGTTGTATATTTGTATATGTTTTTGCATGTGCCATTGCTGAAATTCATACTCATTTAACAGCTGAGCAGGTAAGTTAGATATATCAGCCATATGCTTAGATATCTTGAAGTGGAAAGTATTTTTCAGTGCAGTTCATATGATTGACTGTAATCTAATAATGAAGATAAGGTATAGTTTGACCCAAGATTGTTATCATCAAAAACAAAATTTTCAGTTTTTCTGAGACTTAATGTAATCGTTAAGCTTCATGTGGAATTAAAAGCATAATTGGGGAAAATGTACAACTAAGTTTTAAATCAAGAATTTGACATGTGTATTTTTTTATTTAAAAAATTTTGGATGTAAATATTCTCTAATAGTTTCCTGGGTGAGTGTTGGGTCTTGGCTCTCCAATTCTGTTCTAAGTTTTTCTTTAGTGTGGAGATTATCAGGAATCCTCTTGTGAAAGGGTATTTTAAATTCTAGTTGTTAGGTGGATACATAGAAAGCTTAAATTTAGTTACATTAGAGGACTTTGAACACAATACTGTATGATTATTTGTTGTGAATTATTCCTCACTAAAGTTAATGTTTGTCTGTGCTTTCTTTTCCCGTGAAACATTTTAAGTGATTTTTTAAGGGTGTCCTGTACAATGTACTAATTTAATACTGTATGAACTTTCATTCACCCAAAAAGCTGGCACAATGGGTTTTTAAATAATAATAAATAGTTTAGCATTTGTGCCTGTGACTTTTTAGTTAGGGGAACTTCTGATGAAGCTACTTTGGCTGGACTGAAAGTGTGTGTTATGTTTTACTTCCAAATAAAGTGGGAATAGAAGCAGCAGAAATGTTCATTGAGATATCATTTCTCCTGAATAGCTACTTGTTAGGAGTATTCTAGGCTGTATTTTTAGGTAATCAGATACTTTTTAGAGCAAAAGGAATTGTACTTACCTACCATTGAAAGAAACACATTTACTATTACTTTAATGGTATGCAAAGTGATTTGACATGTTTGTTAGTTGTCTAATACAGTCTTGCAAAGTGAATGGACCATGCTTCTCAATTATACTCTTAAATTCATCTTTGAATCTATGTAGTTATTTTATGGCTCTGCTTGTCCTTAATGATATAAATCCAGAAAAGTAATTCGAGCACAAGTTCCAAAAGGAACAGAAGTTGCATATATAGAAGCTGGATTTAAATGAAATGAATTTAAAGTGATTTTTGGATGCAGAATACTAAAATATATAATGCCATTAGATTCTCAGTTTAGTATTTAAAATAATCTTTAATCACTTTGGGAAATGTTTTATTGTTATATAAGTTTTATTTATTTATATATATATATAAGATATATAACTTGTAAATTTTGTCTTGAAGAAAAAAATGTAAAAATGTGTTCTGTTTGGAGGGCATGAATTTTGAATGTAGAAAAGATTTTTCTACTTGGTTATCACTTAAATTTTAGCTTTTGCTGCTCTCGAGTGGCCATTACAACTTTTTTCCTAATATTTCTGCTCGTGACTGGCAGTGGGGACTTAAACAAATGTGCAAAATTATTTTGATTTTTGTGTTAGAATTTAATTTCTCTGACAGTGATGGAATGCCCTGAGACATACTGAAAAGGATGCAAGAGACAACTTTTTTCTTCTAAACAAAGACTTGAAAGTAAAGGGAAAAAAGAATACATATGCAGCCCTCAAACATAATTTGAGACTTTAAAAAATTATCTATGATTCCATCACCCTGATATAACCATTCTTTCAATTTTTAAACCAAATTTCAAATTAGTAAATCTATTCATTTAAAAAATTCTAAAGAATTAAGTAATTTAGGGAAGCAGAGTGAATGAAATGATTTCTAGATGCTACTTTTGCTTTTTTGGAGAGTTTTATGTAATAAGTTCATCATTAGAATTAATTTATGTTTTCCAGTGGGCCCATTTGTATTTGTTTGGTTCTATAAGCCTGGCCTGATAGTGTGCAGAGAGGCCTGAGGCTGTAAAAGGGAACATTTCCTGGGAGAGTTCTCTGTTGTATATGGGAAAACCCTAGTTCAGAGTAGAATTCTTGCCTGATTGTTACAAAGTTAGATTCTAGTTGAATACTATGTTGCCTTATATCATAACTTTTTTTTTCCACATTGGTTTCTATAGTCTTAAAATACTTGAGATCTGCCTGAAAGGTGAATTACATAAGTATTTTGTTAATCTAACAAAACATTTTATCTCAGTACTTAAAACTAAAATCCTAAGTAATTTATGTTTTTGTTTTTAATAGATAAGGAGGGGGGAGGCAAGTGACAATTCTGTTTTCAGGAAAGTAAAACAAAAAAGGTAAGAATAGTATCCTTTCCAAATCTCTTTAGTCTCAGTTTGTTGGGATGAACAACATCATTCATCAGACATTCCTACTTCTAATTCGGTTGTCTAGGATACCCACAGGACCCTCATTCTTGGCTCCTCAACAAAACAGATGTGAGAAAGAATATTGTGTGGTTTTCAACCATAGTGGTTATGCTGTTAGGATACATGAACAGCCTTTCTGTATTTGGAGTTTCTGTAGTTTTCTGCCATTATCTGTGTTTATATTAATGACTTTCTTTTGGTACCCTTTGCTTAAAAAAAAGGCTATTGAGATTTAGCAAAACTCTGTCACACAACTGATGCTTTCTCTTCTATCTTAAATGTGGGCTTTTTGTGGTTTGGTTACAATAAAAAATTATGTGCATTAGTCTGGAATGTCAGTTTAATGAGATAATTTGGAAGAAGTGTTTTACATCAGCCATTTTCTTCTACAGTGTTTCTAAATTGTCAAGTTCCTGAGAAATCAGAAGTTATCTGTAGAATATAAACATGGGATTTGTTTTTTCTTAAAAAATGTCATTTGTAGGCCTTACATAATGCTATTTTTGAATCATTACTTGATATTTTAACTGATTTCTAAATCTTCTAACAAGTTGATTAGTGTATCTCTGAATTTTAAAAAAGGTTAAAGAATAATTTGCAAAATGGGTTTATACTTAGCAATGAAACATGCCCTTCTCCCCTTTTTAAAGAAACTTCTGGCTTCTAAATTAGGACTTGAGCTCTATCTATATATTTAACACAAAAGTGGCATTATTCTAAAACTACTAAAAATTTTTCTAAAATTTTTACTTGGGTGTTCAGTTTTTTAAAAGCTCCCCAACCTTTACAAAATACCAATGACTCTCAGAAAATTGTTCCCCAAGTTGTCAGCTGAGAAATTTAACACTCAACAGGCTGAATGTTTTTAACTATAGTAAATATAGTAAATGTAATATGGTAAATAAATGTAGTGTTTTTGTAGAGATTCACTGACTGATAGGTAGTTAGTAGGCAGTCACTAAAATCTCATGCTAATGTTTTGCTAGTTTGCTTTGTGGGTTTAATTAGTAAACAGAAATTTTATTG